GGGCCCCCCAAAGCAGCCATCCCCGCCAGACTTACCTGCAGCGGCGCTCAGAGGCGGGCGCGAGCAGATAGCGAAAGGGAGGTGGTGGTGAATCAGTGTGAGTGCAGGCAGGCTGGCCGGCGTGGCCGCGGCTCCCCAGCCCTGCCATTGCTGCTTTGTCCATCAACAGAGCTCTGCTAACAAGAGCTAGGGAGCTGCTGGGCCAGCCAACCACACCCCCACCCAGGCCTGTGGGGCGGGACCTGGCCCCTTAGGAGAAGCCCACGGTGGGCCCAGCTCCCTGGAGACCCCCATGAGCCCTGAGAGCAAAAGTGACCTCTGCCTTCAGTTTACATTAAAAAAATGCATAAAAATTCAACAACATGATTGGATCCAGAGAAAAGTTAGCTGTGAGCCGCGGGAGGGCCACGGAGGGGATCAGCCGTGTGCCACTTACTGTCGTCTCCGAGCTGCGTCTCCGAGCTGCCCATGTGGGAAATGATCTCTGATGTCTTCTTGGATTATTGTTTTCTCCTCCAAAGCCTAAGGCCATGAGGAAAGCCGGAATTACAGAGTGGGGAGGGTCTTTGAGGGACCCCCACTTATGACCCCTTCTCTACAAATGGCAGATCCCCCAACCCTGCCGGCCAGTACCCATGGCTGGTCAAGGCAGGGGCGAATGCCTGATGCAGGCTGGTCCAGACTCTGCAGGAACTTGGGAGTCGCCTTGGTTGAGTGACCAGAGGATCTGGCAAGACAGAGCTCGCTTCCTGAGTGGAACCAAGCAGCTGGGGCTGAGTTCCAGCAGCCGCTCTCAGATGGACTGTGTTTCCCAGGTTGCCACGGTCCCCACCTGTTGCCTTCCTCTGGCTCACATCACTCTTGTACATCCTTGCTTGTGTGCGTGCCAAGTCCTTTCAGTCATGTCCGACACTTTGTGACTCCATGGACTGTAGCCTGCCAGGCTCCTCTGTCCATGGGATTCTCCAGGCAAGAATACTGGAGTGGGTTGCCATTCCCTTCTCCAGGAGATCTTCCCGACCCAGGGACTGAACCCAGCTCTCCTACATTGCAGGCAGATTCTTTACTACTAGCACCACCTGAGAAGCCCATCACATCCTTGCTGGTCCCTGGAAAACTCTGATGGAATGCAGTGACTTGCTTTCTTGTGTGTCCAATCCCAGCAGGCTGCCAGCACCTGGGCGTTGGAGGCGTAGGGTGAATGAGACGGGCATGCTCCCTACCCTTGGGCAGCTCATAGTCAAGAGGCCAAGACAGACGACAGAGTCATTACAAAGGCCCAAAGGCGGGACGATGAGGGCGACGGGGTGTGGAAGGGAGACGCCTCTCCCCCAGGTGGTCCGGGGACACCCGGTGGACGGGTGGGAGCTGGTCAGGCAGAGTGCAAAGAAGTGCTTCAGAGAAGAGGAACAGTGTGTGAGGCCCCAACATCCAGGGGGAACGCCGGAGGGCTGACGTGGCCCGGTGTGGTACGTGCCGCGTGGGGGGTCGTCCCAGGAGAGACGAGGTCCACTTGGACCAGGGTGGTGGCCGTGGGACACGGGAGAGGCCAACGGGTTTGGCAGGGAGTAGAGATTAATCAACAAGATGAAGTGACCAAGAACGTGGTGATGCGTGCGTGTGCGTGCGTGTGCGTGTGCGTGTGCGTGTGCGTGAGGGAGAGACAGAGAATGGGAGCCAGGTGTCTGGCCGAGTGACCGGGTCAGCGGGAGGGTGGGGTGGAGGGGTGGACTCAGTGTGGGGCCCGTGTGGACGACCGTCTCGAGAGGACGGGGGCAGGGTCAGCACCTGTCTCGTGGAGGTGGACCAGGGTCCCCGCACCAAAGGCCGCCACTGACCCCTGGGAACGGTCACAGTTCACAAAGCACACGCATCCTTTTGCAGGCAAGAGCAGCGCCAGACGTCAGGGTGTTGGGACTGCGGAGCGTGGCCCCGGCTTGAGGGTGGCGTCGAGAGGGTCCTCCAGATGCCAGCGGCCACTGTGGGTCGGGGTGGGGGAGCTGGAATGGAGGGGTCTGGGAGCAGAGGGCCCGGCGTCAGCAGTGAAAGACCCCTGGGGAGGGGGCTGTGGCCCCGGGGGGAGGGAAGCCGCCCCGCAAACCCCTCTCTGGGGAGCGTGTCTTGCAGGGACTCCGGGTAGCGGGGTGAAGGGCACAGCTGTTCCTGGGGTTGTTGATGCGGGCGGCCAAGGAAATGATGGGTCCAGACAGGGACTCTAGACAGCTGTGAGGGTCCCCAGACACATGCTTCAGTTAAAAGGGGGGGGGAAGCAAGCAGAGAACAGTCTGAATAATCTGTTCTCGGTTGTGCAACAGAGCGGGGCTAGGAACGGGTCCTGCCTGTCTGTGGGGAGGACCGGGGAGGCTCACAGACCCGAGAAGGGCGGGCTCCTGTGTGTAGGGAGTGGGGACCGGCAGGGCTGAGAATTTTACAGGGTGGCCTCTTAGAACGCGCAGCTTTTGACCTCTGAATGCTTTATTAAAAAACAGGTACAAAAATCCCAGACTGGAAATGAGGATGAACCACACGTCTTTCTCGAAGCCTCTCCCTTCTGAGGCTCCCGGTTCCTTGCAGATGATGGTCCCCGTGACCCACGGCCGCTTCGGGCCGGGCGGGGAGGTGTTCTGCACTTGCGGCCTCCTTGAAGCTGCTCAGAGTCCCTTGAGGATGGAGTTATTCCTGGGCTCTCTCTCCCCAGCAACACACAGCCTGGTGACTCCAGGATGCGGGCCTGGGTGAGGGCGGTGGGAGCCGAGACGGTGGGGGCCGCCAGAGACAGACCCCGGGCGGGGAGGGAGCCAGGGGACACATGTACAGGAGGACAGAGGCCCTTGGGGTCCGAGTGCAGCGGGACGGCTCCGGAGCCCAGGCACTCCCCTCCTGTGCTGCCCCCTTCTTGTCCCCAGACAGCAGCCTGGGGAGGCAGATGCCCAGGGCCGGCCCAGGTGGCACGGCCGGGCAGAAGGCTGCCTTGGTCCACGAGAGGAAGTCCACGTCTTCTTGATCTGATCGCTGGGCGACCTGGCCCCAGTCCAGACACTGCCCTGGACACCAACCACTTCCCCAGCCAGGCACGGAGAAGCCACCAGGGCCCCGAACAGGACCTCTGAGCTGGAAGATCCAGCCAAGGGCCTGCAGGCGGCAGATCAGCCAGGCCTGGGCGGGGTTCCGGCCATCAGCTGTGTGATCTCGGCCAAATGATGTAACCTCTCCGAACCTCAATTTTCTTCTGTATAACATGGAGAAGAGTTTGGGGACAGTAAGCAAGAGAACGTTTATAAAGTGCTTGGCACAGTGCAGGAGCTCAAAAATAGTGGCTAACATTTGCCCATCTCAAGAGCGATGGTTCTTAACTTGGCGTGGGGGGACGGAATTACAGGACCCCTTAGGAATCTGAAGCAGCTTGGAATTCTCCCTAGGAAAGTGTGGGTGTACACACAGGTGTCCGCTTTTACCTAGGGAGTGACCACAGAACTCGCCCTTCTCTCCTCCCATCCCAGCTCATTAACATGCATACAGCCCTGCAGCCTGCATCCTGCCGAAGATTACTTGGGGAGAAAACCCACTACAAATTCTCTCAAGGTATTTCAAGTGTGGCCTGTCTTCACCCCTCTTTGTCCACACCCCCCCACCATCCCCAATTATATGCAAGCTGCCGTTTTGATTATTCTGCACAAGCCTGAGAATTCCGCAGTTAAATAAGTAAATATAAATAAATCAGGGGCCTCTGACTCCGGGACTCTTTTCCAGTCACGTCTGCCCCCGTGGGCTCTCAGTTCTTACGAGGAGGCAATGGTTTCTAAGTGGAAACATGACTGCCCGGGCTCGGGGAAGATTTACTGTTTCTCGTAGCGCTCTAACAAGATAGAAGGGGAAGACCCTCCAGCGCCCCATCTCCTCGCATGGCTTATCTGGCCCTAGATAATCTCGGCGGGACCACTGGAATCATGGTCTCTCCAGACCCGGCACATCCAACTTGGCTCTGCGGCTCGTTCTGGAGGAAGCATTGCCTGCTGGCTCTTGCCGTGTGCGTGCGCCCGCTCAGTCATGTCCGACTTAGGGGTGTGGACAGTGAGACCTTCTAGGCAGCCCGTGAAAGAGGGGCCCGTCCCAGGTATAATGCATCGTCCAAATCAGAACACATCTTAGAGGGTGCTATTAGTTATTACCCTCAGACCCAGGTGTAAACCAGGTGTGTCCTGGGAAAACTGGGGTGCACCGTCACCCCGCCTTCACCCTGCACATGACTCGGGGCCTGAACTGAGCTTGCTGGGGGTGGTTTGCAGCTAGGAAGCCTGAAAGAGCTGAAAGTCCTTCAAAGGGGAAGTGAAAGTCGCTCAGTTGTGTCCGACTCTTTGGGATCCCGTGAACTACACAGTCCATGGAATTCTCCAGGCCGGAATACTGGAGTGGGTAGACGGTCCCTTCTCCGGGGGATATTCCCAACCCAGGGATGGAACCCAGGTCTCCCGCATCGCAGACGGATTTCTTACCAGCGGAGCCACCAGGGAAGCAAACTATCAAAGAAATGGTTGAAAATAAGGAAATGGAGATATTTTAATGCAAGAAAAATAACAGCATCGCACACTCCCCTTCTGCCTGGGAATGTGCCTCTCCTGTGTCCCCAGGGCTGGGGGACGCCTGGCTTTCGGCGCCCACCCAACGGGCAGCCCTCCTGTTCCATGCGTTACATTCAACTGCTGTCCCAGCTTCCAGGGGCCGCCGGCCTCCCAACCAGCTCTGCGTCCTTCCTGGGGGGTCCTGCCTCCCCTCTCAGGCCAGCACGGGCTGGCCGACTCAGCAGGTCAGGGCCGGGTGGAAGAGACGGCTTCGTGCTCCCTCCTGAGACACACCTGCTCTGGGGCTCCCTGGAGGGGCTCCCTAACCCGGAGGCCGGAGCAGCCCCCGCCCCAGGCCATCGAGGCGGCAGGGTGTCCCTCGCCCCTCGGGATCCGGACACCCCGCGCCGAGTCCCGCTCAGACGCGGCGGCGGCCCCGCCTCACAGCTGGTCCTCGTCCACCCAGACGGTCTTGCGCTGCTCCTCGGCGATCTTGTCCTTGATGACGCGCAGCAGCTCCTCCAGGCTGCCCCACGCGTCGGCCTCCACCGTGGCGTACAGGCAAGGCAGCGCCTCCAGCTCCTTCTCCTTCAGCCGGCACAGGCGCAGGAACTCGTCCTCCGTCTCGGGCCGGGGCAGCATCTTCCTGCAGACGGGCGGGCGGGGAGACACGCACGCGGCGTGGGCCAGGCTGTGGGCGTGGCTTGGCGGCGCCCACCCCCGGCCCGGCCCACCCCGCCGCCTTCCCGGCTGTGTTTCTGCACGGTGTCCACCCTCCGCACCTTTGCACTGTGCCCTTTTATTCTCTTCATTAGGGAAGTCTAAGAGGTGCGGACTTTTTTTTTTTTTTTTTAAAACAGGTCCATTTAAATTTTTAATTGTGATCAAGTTCATAGAAAACAAAACCTCTCATCTTGACTATTTTTAAGGGTATGGTTCAGCAGCGGTAAGTGATTCACATTGATGTGCCTCCATCCCCGTAACTTTTTCATGTAAAACTGGAACCGTGCATTAAACCATCACTCCCCACCGACCCACCCACCCACCCTTCTACTCTCCGTCTCTGGCATCTGACTCCTGGACGGCCCTTGGACAAGTGGAATCGTGGCAGCAGCTGTCTTTCTGTGTCTGGCTTATTTCACCGAACATCATGTCCCACACGGCCTGGTGTCCCACACATGTCCGGGCCTGGCCTCACTGTGGTGGGTCTGCTCCAGAGGTGTTGGCTTCCCAGAGCACCGGGGGCCCCTGGTGCTCACCCTCCTGGGGATGTGTGTGTGTGTGTTACTGTCTTCAATCTGGGGGGTTAGGGCCATGTCCCGCTGGACTGGGGACAGACACTAAAGGGATGTTCGGGGTGGGGGTGGGGGTGTGCTGGACACAGCCAGCAGCTCTTCCTGGGGACCCCAGAGCTTGGGGAGTAGAAGACCTGGGGCAGGGGGTCCCGGAGCCCTACCGGAACTTCTTGATGTTCTTCTCTGACACGCGGACGAACAGCACGATGGGGTAGATTCGGGACTTGATCAGGTCTCTGGTGCAGCTGATCCCTGCCTCCAGCAGACAGTGCTTGTTCTGCAGGTACAGTGGCCAGTGGTCAGCGGGGGCCCACCGCCCTGCCAGCCCACCTGGGCGCCTGGGGCAGGGCCAGCTCCATGGGGCTAGAGAGCCCCCGAGTGCCACCAGCGGATCCTCCAGCAGACAGTGCTTGTTCTGCAGGTACAGTGGCCAGCGGTCAGCGGGGGCCCACCGCCCTGCCAGCCCACCTGGGCGCCTGGGGCAGGGCCAGCTCCATGGGGCTAGAGAGCCCCCGAGTGCCACCAGCGGAACCCAACCTCCGAGACGCAAGCCCACCTCTCTGGACTCCTGACTCCCCTGCACAGGGCCGGGCACGGGGAGGAGCCCGGCACCCAGCCTGGGGTGAATCAAGCGGTGTGAATGAGTCTTAATAAAAATCAGTCAGCGTGGAGGACACCTGCTTCTCTATTCCACCTCCAGAAGCACTCGTGGTACTAGGACAGGGGTGGCAGACACCTGGAGGGTGGGGCGGGCTGGAGGGTCCAGCGAGGATGGAGGGGTTCTCAGGCACAACTTCCTGAGGCCTGGGAGCTCATCGTTTCTGAAGGATGGTCCCTGTTTTACTGAAGGTGCCACTTGAAAACCCCTGCGCACCGAAACAACCTGAATACAGAAAAGCGCACGTGTTCCTACGCCGGCAGTTCAGTGGACTGCCGCAGACTGAGCGTGCCGGTGGAACCAGCCCCAGGCCCAGCAGCAGAGATGGCCATCCCCCGGCTCCCACGCCCTTCCAGCCACCGCTCCCCTGTCTCGACTGTACAGCCACTCCTGGACTTCTAACAGCACAGATTCTTGAATGCAATCTCCTTTGCAGCTGAAACGATCTCAGTTCCAACCCTGCCCACTGTTTCCCATCCACCCCGGCTGTCAGAATTCCCTGAACTTTAATACCCAACACACTGTTCAAGGCTGGCTGACAGCTTTGCTCGAGCTCTGATCAGTGTGACAAGGCGGCAGGGTGTGGGAGAGACCATCGGCTGGACGGCATAATTCAGAGTTCCGGGCTGGACACCTGCTCCTGCCGCTGCCCAGGTCGCTGCCCCAGAGAGGCCGAGAGCCCCGTCTTTGTTCAGACCCAGATTGAGGAAGAACTCTGTGCTCAGGGCCGGCCAGGGTCATGAAGCCCAGGTCCAAAAGATTCCAAACTGCCTACAGACAGCTTTCCTGCACCACTGCCTAGAACACTCCTGATGGTCCTTCTCCCCAGTTTGGAGAACAGGGTCCCTGTTGCCCGCTCGCTCGCTACCTCTGGCCCTGTTATGAGAGCCAGGTGCGCACACATCCAAAACAACGTGGACCAGACGGCCAGCACCAGGAAGCCACCAGAAACAGGGGAGGGCTTCCCTGGTGGCCCAGAGGTAAAGAATCTGTCTGCCAGCGCAGAAGAAGGGGTTCGATCCCTGGTCTGGGAGGACCCCACGTGAGCCTGCGCGCTAGAGCCTGGGAACCGAAACCACTGAAGCCCAGGTGCCCTAGGGCCTGTGCTCTGCAAGAAGACAAGCCACTGCAATGACAAGCTGGAGCAGTGCAGCCAGAGAGAGCCCGCACGGGCACGGAGACTCAGCACCGCCAGCAAATAAACGAGAATAAAGACAAAATTACCAAAAAAAAAAGAAAGACATAGAAGGAGGTTGCAAACCTAAGTGCCTGTGGGAGCCGGGGAGCAGGGCTTGGAGAAGCCCGCACGTGGCAGAGGCAGTGAGGACGGGGTGCACTGGGCCGGGGGCGGGCGGNTTCTGCCACATTTAGAGCCTGAGGCTTCTAAACTGAGGGCAAGGTCAGGGCCCCACTTTACACTCTCCATGGCAGCTGTGTGCAGCCTTCCAGCTGCTCCGGAGCCCTTGATGGAGGAGTGGGGGAGGGGAAAGTAGGGGGAAGAGGGTGGGAGGGGAGGAAGGGGGGAAGGAAGGCGGGAGGATGGGAGGAGGAGAAGGGAAAGAGAGGAGGAGGAGGGGGAAGAGCGGGAGGAGGGCGGGGAGGAGGGGGGCGGGGCCGCCTGCGGGGACTCACCCGGCTTGCACATGGTGAACTCCATCGCACCCCCGGAGTTGAGCAGCTTCTGGACCAGCGCCTTGGCCAGCATGGTGGGCGTGAAGAGGACAGGCCGGCGGCGTTCGCAGTAGAAGGCACGCACCAGGCTGTAGGGGATCAGGCTGAGGTTCTTGCCCAGCTCGCTCTCTGGGTCCAGCTCTGGGAGGGGGCAGGCAAGGGCTGGTTACAGCTGGGCCAGGGCACCCGGGGACCCTCCTGGCTCCACAGAGCCTTGAAAACCATTTGGGGGTTGGGGAAGGGACATCTGGGGGTAGTTCTGAAAAGCACTGCACATAGTGAAGCCCAAGGCCCGGAATGGCCTTCCACCACCAGGAGAGTTTAGGTGTGACCGGGGGGCCGGGCCCTGTTTTGGAAGCTGGGGTGACAACGCTGGGTCAGGCAGACAGTCGGCCCAGCCCACAGACCAGGAGGGGCAGTGGTGGTGGGAGGCAGACAGCAAGCCTGGAACACACTCCCGGTGCTCAGCTCTCAAGGGAGGGCCTTGGACTGAGGCTGCACTGCAGAGGCACCCCGGCCCTTGGGAGCATCAGCGCCAGGGCCAGCCTGGCCCCAGGAGGCGGGTGGAAGGGCTGGGTCCCACCAGCGGGGCCTGCCCCGGGGGACAGTACACCGAGTGGCCTCTTTCGGGCTTTAGGATAAGTGGCAGGAGGCGCTCAGAGGGGAATCAGTAAGTAAAGGCTCCAAAGCAAACAGCTCCAATTAACACGGGTGTCTGGGCTATGGTTTTTCAGTCGTCACATCATGTGCAGAAGCTGGACCATAAGGAAGGCAGAACGCCAAAGAACTGATGCTTTCAAACTGCGGTTCTCAAGAAGACTCCTGAGAGTCCCTTGGACCGCACGGAGATCAAACCACTCAATTCTAAAGGAAATCAGTCCTGAATATTCATTGGAAGGACTGATGCTGAAGCTGAAACTCCAATACTTTGGCCACCTGATTTGAAGAAATAATTCATTGGAAAAAACCCTGATACTGGGAAAGATTGAGGGCAGGAGGAGAAGGGGACAACAGAGGATGAGATGGTTGGATGGCATCGCTGACTCAATGGACATGAGTCTGAGCACAGTCTGGGAGATGGTGAAGGACCGGGAAGGCTGGCGCTGCAGTCCCTGGGGTCGCAGAGAGTCAGGGCTTGAAGACTAAACAACGACTGGGCTCCAACCTCGGGGGCATCAGTGGTGGGGAGTCTGGCAGGATGCTGCCCAGGAGGCTGTTGGTCCTCCCGCCCACACCAGGGCGGCTCCTCCCTGCTCTCTGGGACCCACTTGGCCCACCCAGAGCCCGAGGCTGCCGAAGTGCGCACACCTTCCTGCTTCTCAGTCAGGAGCTTCGTGGCATCCAGCGAGGACCGGGCCAGGCTGCCCCGTGGACTCCCCGAGACGATTCGCACCCGCTCATGGCTGTTCATCCGCTTGTACTTGTTCTCAGACCTGCTGACGAACTGGGGACAGAGGGGAGGGTGTGGGGACGGCCTAACCCCTCGGAGCTCCGGAGACCTCCGCTCAGATCCCAGCTCTGCCCTGGGGCCTGGCCCCCCCACCCCTGCCCCCCGGAGATAGGGGACACCTAGCAGGCGTCTGGGACGCTGTCAGTGGGCAAGTAAGTGGATAAATGCCCACGCCCGCTTTCCCGGCGTGGTCCCAGGCAGGCCCCCACTGGAGCCCCCCCACAATCCCAACCACACCTAGGGGGCCCGCAGGCACTGCGGGGCCTGATGCGCTCTGGCTGCCTAAGACCTGTGTCTGGGAGCCTCCACTAGCAGGACTGCCCACAGACGGCCCACCTGGAGGGCGGGTGCAGGGACATCACCTCCCTCCCCGGGGTCCCCGAGTCTTCTGGGGGGTGCCTGCACCCAGCTACGACTCAGAACGGAGTCCCGGAGGGCGGGAAGGGACGCCCCGTGGCGGGCACTGCTCCGAATCCCTTCACACCCTCCCTCTGCAGGGAGGAAAACCCAGGGCGCTGGGCAGTCAGGCCCACTCCCTTGTTAACCGGCCTTTGAGCAAGTCACCCCCGAAGCTCAGGGTTGTGGATTTGTGTGATGTGCGGGCACAGTAACGCATGGTCTCTCGTGGTCCTGCCTCCTGGGGTGACTCTGATCTCACCAGGGCGCCCCTCCACCTCCGTGCCTTTCTGCTACCTGTCCGCCTCTACCTGGGTTTCAGGGTCACACCGTCAACCATTTCTCTGGGTTTCCTATATTCCAACATGAGGATGGAGCGGTGCAGTGACACCGGCTGCACTGGGGCCTCACTAGCACAGCGCCAACTCAGGAGCGCCCTCACGGGACGACGTCTTAACAGGACTCTTGGCCTGTGCCGGCCCGCGATAAGAGAAAAAGGCTACACAGGTGCTTATGTGCGTGTGAGACCACTTCGGAATATGCCACCCATAGGCTGTTCACTGTTCCTCGTATAATGATCCACGCCCCCCGCCCCCGCCAAAAAAAGAAAAAAAACTTTAGAATCAAGTACGAGAGAAAAATTCTTTCTGGTCACAAAAAGCTAAAACGCTTTGGTGACAGATAAGAGTTAAAGAATCTGCTGGAAATCCCCTTTCTCATGGACTACTGGGATGCTCAGAGATCAATTTATTGCTGAATCTGAAGGACTGAACTGACTGGGATCTCTGGAAGGTCTGTCTCTCCTGACTTTTCTATGAATATCTGAACAGCTCAGATGTCCAAGCTTCTTTCAGCCCTAACTGTGCTCCATCTTTTACGAACGCGTGGTCTGCTTCCTACAGGCACAGAGTGGTCCCCCGACCCATCAGAGTGAAGATAAAGCGGGGCAGGAGACGTGAGGGGCAGCGGGCACACAGCCTCCACTTCTCGGCAGGGAGCGGGCAGGGCCGAGGCCAGATGTGCAGTGCCGAGAGGTCGGCAGGTGCTGAGCGCTTCTACCTGAAGGAGCTGGCCGAACAGGAAGCTTGCTCGCGAGAGGCGGGGACTGACCCGGGGGTCCGTGGTGGGGAGCGGTTCTTCGGGCTGCAGGGTGTTCTGAAATCAGGTGATCAACCGGTCAGAGCCGGCCGCGGGCTGCTGAGAGCAGGAGACGGACCCCCCTCCCGCCCAGCCCCACCCTGGGCAGACGCGGGAAGGCGCTCGGTATGGATCAAAGCGTCCCGGACGCGGGAGCGCAGGGCATGAGAGGGCCTGGGGACTTGTTCCAGCAGAGACTGCAGCGGGCCGAGGGCACGGACGTGGGGCTCCTTCTGGGGGCCCCCCTTTTCCTGAGGAACCCGGTCCCCTGCGGTCCATCATCCCAGCCAGACTGGTGGCTCCTGCCTGGGATCCCCTCCAGAAGGGCCCCAGGAGGCGGGGTGAGGCCGGCAGGGCGCGGGGTGACCTACCCGGAGGGCTCGCAGTGTGTGGTGGGCCGTATCGGCCTCCTCCCGGCTGCCCCGGTGCATCAGGCGCTGCAGCTTGACCAGGAGGAGCTGCTGGGCCCTGGGGAGGCGAGGGGAGGGCAGAGCCTCAGGGGCTGGGCGCGGGGAAGCCGGCGGGGGCCTGGACGGGGGCAGGGGGCTCTCTGCAGGCTGTGAGCTCTGAGCCCCAGGGAGGACTGGGCACTGAGCATCTGGGCTTGAACCCTCTCAGCCACTGACTCATCCTGGTGCCTTAACTTCTCTGAGCCTCAGTTTCCTCATCTGTAAATTGGGTCTACTCTTGCTGGCTTTGAAAGGCTGGCCTGGGCAACAGGGCTGGAGTCTCCTGATCATTTACAGGTGCCTGGGATGTCTGACCAGGGAGAAGACATGCTCAGCCCTTGGCGGCTGCTGCTGTGTAATTACTGAATGATGCTGGGGAGATGGGGGACGGAGAAGCACAAATTCAGGCTCTAAGTGTCCAGCACAGATGGGAAGGGGGTGTTCTGGGATTTGGTGAAGCAGTGGGATTTAAGAAAACAACGTCCTGAGGCCGTTGCTGTTTAGTCGCTAAGTCACGCCTGACTCTTTGTGACCCTATAGACTGCAGCCCACCAGGCTTCTCTGTCCATGGGATGCTCCAGGCAAGCATACTAGAGTGGGTTGCCATTTCTTTCTCCAGGGGATCGTCCCAAGCCAGGGATCGAATCCACGTCTCCTCCATTGGCAGGCGGATTCTTGATCACTGAGCCACCAGGGAAGCCCTTCTGGGGGCACAGAGAGCTTAAGAGAGGAAGAGGGAATTGCAGCAGGGGGAGGGAGGGGCGGCTGTCACCGGTCAGCAGGCAAAGGCTCCCCCGTGAGCCCCCTCGGCCCCACCGGTCCCGGCCTCACCGGCTGTAGCTGGGGATGGTGCCCATGTCCAGGTCGTGGTCTGTGAAGGGGTCGACGCGCGCACACAGCCACTCATGCTTGTCCTGGTACATGGTGTCACGGACATGCACAACATCGTCACACTTCAGGGACATGGAGCAGGCGTCCAGCTGGCTGGAGATGTTCAAGTTCAGCCGGATATAGAACGAGTCCCCCGACGTGATCAGGCCCTCCTCCATGTCCTTTAGCAGCTTCCGGTACCCTGCGGGGGAGGAGGGGGTTCAAGCTGTCGGCGGAGGGCATCCCGCTGCCAGGCCACCCCCAGAAGACACCCTGGGTGCGGTCCTCCTATGGCTCATGGTTAGGGAAACGTCTGTCCTCTCCAATGAGTGAGCAGCTGAGTCACTGATGGGCTTCACTCTTTGTATCAGCTGCCAAGAAGCTCAGGGAGAACTTTTGGGCCCACGTTGCAACAAACCTAGGAAGCTGGTGGGGTGGGGCGCTGGGTGGCCTCCCCGGAGGGCCCTCAGACGTGCTATGATCTCTGTGTCCCTCACCAGTCATACACCGGGCGTGCTTTATCATATTTCCTTTAATTGAAGCATAACATGCAGAAAACCCCATCGTCCTTAAGTATTCAGCATGATGGATTTTCACAAATGTCTACACCTGGGTAACCACCGCTCAGAAGCCTGCGGGGTAACCACTATGCCTCCTGGCAGCACACGGGTCAGCTCAGCCTCACATCACAGAAGCGGAAGCGGGCGTGCTTCTGGGTGTCTGGCGTTCTCTGTGTGCCGTCACACCTGTGGGATGTGTCTGATGCTGCAATGGAGCATCATATGTTCTTTTTCATCACTGTAGACTATTCCGTGGGCTGCTGCTTCCTTCCTTCTCTGGTGCATTGCAGGTGGATTCTTTATCGTTAGGCCACGGGGAAGCCTACATTTAGCCTGAGCAGATACTGCCAAATGGTTTTCCAAAGTGGTAAGACCATGGCACGTGTTTTAAACCTTAGTTAACACCTTCGTCCTTTAGTGTAAAATTTTATGAATGCTTTGGAAGGAAGCAGGGCATAACGCCATGAATACAATAAAGGCAGTAAACTTCCAGCCAATGTTCAAGGCATAAATCCATAATATAAATCCCGAAATTGGCCCCACACGCAGAGCCGGAACACAGCAGAAGCTAAAATAGTCCTAACAGCCAGGCCCCGAAGGAGCTTGCCAAATGCCCGCACCTCACACAGCAGGGAGACTCAGGCCAGGAGGCCTCTGATCGCGTCTCCTAGGGAGACGGGGGCCCCCACTCGGGCCCTTCCAACCGCCCTGGTTGGAGGTAACACCAACCCCACCTGGGAGGACAGGCCCTCTGAACGGGATGCTGCTGCAGGGAATGCTTGCACTGCAGGGCTCTGCTTCTGCACAAAGCCAGGGGTGAGCCTCACTCCGCATCCCGTGACCCTGGGGCCAGCGGGCAGGGCTGTGCCGGAAACTTGCTGCTGGGCCGGGACGTCAGGCCTGGCAGAGCAGAGAAGCCCGCCTACCTGCCCGCCCGTGGGAGCAGGAGGCTGGCACCATGTTTGGGGACAGAGCATCATTACCATCTTCTGCACGGACCCGGCGTTGCCGGGAAGGAGCGCCGGCAGGCAGGCGGCAGTGGGGAAAGGCTAGAGTGGCTATTTATGCTCTGTTGAAACATTCATGAGCCCTGGCGGTTAAAAATAAGATCCAGCTGCAGAGATAATCATGCAGGGGAAAAAAAAAAAAAACCCAGAGGTGAGAACGGGAACCCAGGGTTTGGGAGAGAGAAGACCCTGCCCAGGAGGGCCACGGGCCACACGAGAGGCGGGGCGAGGCCGCGCTGCCTTGGCCGCGGTGTGGCTCAGCGGGCCTGCTGGTGTTGGAGCGGCCACCCCAGAGTCAGCGTCCACGTCAAGGCCGGGAGGCCGGGGAGAAGAAGCAAACCTCAGCCTGGCAGGGAGAAGGGCGGAGCCGGCCAGGCAGGGACGCGGCCGTCGGCCAGCAGTCTGCTTGGGGCTGGACATGCTATCTTCCACTAAGAACGGGTCAGCGGCCCGCGCAGGTCACGGCGGGTGTGCGCACGCGGATCTCCACGGCCGCTCGCTCATCCACGGCCGCTCAACCCCGCCCGCGGCCTGCTCTGAGGCGGGCAGAGCTGCGAGGGCGAGGCTGCCCCACCCACCCGCGGGTAGAAGCCCCCGTCCCCAGCGAAGACCGGCTCAGTGCTGCCAAGGGCAGGAAGCCCCCCACTGAAAAGGGGTTCACGTGCCTCCCGTCCATCGCCCAGAGTGTGAGTGTGCGTGCGCACAGGCTCTAAAAACATTCGAGCCAAGAGTGGAGGGGAGACGGGCCCAGAGAGTGGGGCCTCAGGCGAAGAGCTGACGCCCGCGCCCCGCTCCAGGCCAGGCATTCTCGGCTCAGTACAGAGCTGGGCTGGGGTCCCTGCGCTGTCAGCAGCAGGCATGCAGAGGAAACAGAGCTGCCGCCTCCCCGGGCCCCCAGCCCCCTCACCAGCAGCAGCTGGTGGCCCTCGCGGAGGCCAGCCTTCTCGGCGAGGGAGCCCGGCTTGACGAAGTGGACGAAGCTCCCGCTGGCGTTGCCCCCGAGCAGGCTGAGCTGGGAGATGAGACCGTCGCCGCTGAGTGTGGTGTGCTGCACCGAGAGCCCGGGGCCCCGCACGTGCCCCACGGACGTGACCGACGGCCGGAAGGGTCTGGGGCAGGAGAGGAGAGGGGGGTGAGGCAGCTGTGGTCAGGACCCCCACCGGGGGCACAAGTCACAGGAGCAGACACCTTAGGAGAATCTGGAGAGCGGCTCCCACCGTGACGGCACAGACCAGAAGCAGGGGCCCCGGGGACACTGCCGCCATGAGCCTGGCATCACATGCACCCCAACTGCGTGCACATCGGGTGTGATGGCTGGCCGCCCCTCCTCGAACACCGGCAGGCCCAGGGGCACAGCTTACGGGGCTTCAGGGGAGTCACCCACACAGCCTGGGCCCGGTGGGACATCAGAGTCCCGTTCCTGGTCTCTACCAGGCTGTGTGACTCCCAGCAAGCCCCTTCCTCTCTGGGTCTGATGAGGGGTCAGGGGAAGTGATTCCCAACTCTGGGACCCTGTGATCCCTGGACCCTGATTCTAGAGTCCAGTCTAGGAACGTGGATGATCCCCTTTGCAGGGATCCAGGGGCAAGTGGCCTTCACCCCCTCCCCACCCCCTCCTCAGCCCCCAAGCCCCCCCACCTCAGCCTCCCCTGTCCCATGACCCTGGTACCTTTCTAGAGAGAACTTCCTAAACATGAGGTTGACCTGTTCCAGGTCATAGGCGTCCAGGCCCTCAGACTGGTGGGAGGAGGAGGAGGAGTGGATGGAGGGGGGTCCAAAGGAGCACCGCTCGTGACTGTCATCTGCGAAGGACAGAAGGACCCTCAGGCCCCGAGTGGACCCCGGGGCAGGGGGATGGCCCCTGGTCTTGCTGGGATGGCCGCCGGGGTCAGGCCGGGCACTCCTGCCCCTGCTCCCCCCTGCCTGCCTGCCTCCTGGGCTATCCCACCCCCCACCACTGATGAGGGAGCCTGGGGAGGGGGCAGCCTCAGTCAGCTGGTCCCTGAGGCCCCGGGGGGGTTGAGGGTCCAGTCCTGGCAGCCCTTTCGGCACAGTCATTCTCCTGCCTCCAGGCGGAGACTCTGGAAAGGGGTCTCTATCAGCAGGCGCTTGTTTGACTTTTGTTATCGGTGTGCGTGCGTGTGTGCTAAGTCGCTTCAGTCGTGTCTGACTCTTTTGAGACTCTGTGGACCATAACTTGCCAGTTCCTCTGTCCATGGGATTTTCCAGGCTAGAATACTGGAGTGGGTGGCCATTTTTGCCTCCAGGGGATCTTCCCCGCCCAGCGTTCAAACCGGGTGGGTTCTTTAGCACTAGCGCCACCTGGGAAGCCCTTCAAATCGGGACCCGTGGTTTCATTTGGGGCCCTTAGGTCTCACCAGTACCTACTGCCTTGATGGGGTTAGGGAGGGGCTGCAAGAGCAGTATCTGGGGTCAGAAGGCCCCTCTCCTCCCAGCTCAGCGGGACCTCGATGCCCTGGGAGGAAGACACCCACCCGGCACAGCTCAGGCCACCGGGATGGGAGAGCCGCAAGCCTTGCCCTGCTCCAGGCCGATAACAAAGGCCGCTCTGCAGAGCGAATTTGTCCCGATGCTGCAGAACGCTTTGGATTGCTGCCCAGAACTCTCTCCCCAGCTCTTCCCTCTGCAAACTCCTCGAGTTCTGCCCATTACCCTGCCTCGATTAGGTGCTGACCTCTCTTTAACACTTGATAGCTTCTGATGGTCCCCAATTAAGGACAGCCACTAATCTTTCACTTTATCTGCAGGCAGCGGGAGCTGGCGAGGGGGTGGAGGCAGGCTGGGGGAGCCCGGGAACCGAGGGGGCTGGCGGGCCACACCTGGAGGATTCTGAGCCAGGCTCCAGGCTGCTAGCTCTGGAGGGGCCGGGGAATGCGACTGGCAGCCCAAGGCCGCCACCCGAGATGCTGAACCCTGCCTGTTCCTCTCCGTCCTGTCCCTCCGGTCAGAAGCTCAGGTTCTGCAAACCTGCCTTGATCTCCCCCAGGGTCACAGCTGCGGCACCACGGTCTGTGCCACGGCAAGAGCTCAGCGACACCTGGAACAGGGCCTGGCGAGGCTGGGGGCCTGGACGTGTGCTGGGCCTCCCCGCTGTACAGGGCGGAGGCTGGAGCCGAGCAGCTTATCACTCCGGGCGACGGAGCCCTCATGCCTGGCTCTGCGCGTGGCACGTGCTGGGCCATGGGAACACCCCATCACACAGCTCTGCCTGGGCGCTGGTTCAGGGCGACTGCACCCCCAGTCTCCCCGGTGCTTGCCTGCCCCATGCCTCCAATTCAGCGGGTGAAAACCAGCCTTCACGGCTGCCCCACCTCCATCCCAGGGCCCTGGACCCCACACCTGCCACTCATCTTGCTGAGGTGCGTTAATGGCTTAATTTATGCCTGGACTCTTAAGGGGTCCCCCACCTCCAGTCCACCCCCTAGCATGCTGCTCCTGGGTCCCCCTAAGACCCTGCTTATCCATTTGCACCCTGAGGACAAAAGCAGGTGGACAAACATCTGCTGACAGGCACCGGGATGGACCACGGTGGCTGGCTACAATCACGGGAGCTATGCTTTCTTAAAAACGCAGACCTCCCCGATTCCGCCCTCAGTACTGGCATGCTTCCCACCGTCCACAAAACAAAGGTGGGGCTCCTGGGGCGCATCCCGGCTCCATGTGCACTCTTGGAACCTGCTCTGCGCACATCTCCTAAGGCCCTCCGGTGCGCGAGGCCTTGCCCCAGGTCAGGACCCGGCTGAGGAGGCCGCCGCGCTTGGAACGCCTCTCACACCCGCTGGGCACCTACCATCGAGGTCTAAGGCATCGAAGCCACCGCTGTCGTTGTCTTCCTCAACTGTGCTGCAAGACACAATGGGGGGGGCAGGGGGCTCTTGATTGTGTGCAGGTGGTCAAGGGAGAGGGAGGCTTCCGGAATGTTCTGGCGGAGCGAGAGGTTCTGGTACTGAGAGGGCAAGACGGGCAGGAGGGGGGCTCGGCAGGCGCGTGGAGGGCTCCGTGGCTGGGTGCGTGGCCAGGAGGGCAGGGCAGCTCCGGAGCCTGCAGAGGCCGCGTTAGCCTCTGCAGGGTGACTGGAGAAGGGCTGGGAGTGCAGTGCCCGGCGGCCCCGTCGGCCACTCCCCACTCACTTCTCTGCCTGCACGCAGAGTGCTTAGCACCATTTATACGCGCGGAGGGCTGCCTCACGAGACGGGCCCAGAATAGTGGAGCCTCCGTCAGACGGGGCTGGCGGGCGTGAGGTGTGTGTTCCTGGACTCCTCCCTTGCTCCCCTGGGGTTCTTGCGGTGGACCAATGAGGCCCACGCCGGGTCACCGGCAGGACCCGAGATGGAGACACGGTCCCGCCGGCCATGCCTGGCTCTGGCCCTTCTGGGCACCACCACCAGCTTCTGACTCGGAACGTAAGACATTAAACACCCAGCTGACGAGGCATGTCTGGATGCCCAGGCGCTCGCTATCCCTACTGTGGCTTCAACCCTGGGGACACTGACGGTCAGGAAGGAGGGGAGGGAGGGGGAATGGAGGGGCGTCCCCAGGGTCTCTCCCTCTCTGGGCAGAAAAAGCCATGCTCTGGAACCACAGGATGGAGACGCCTGCTTTCCGGGTAGCAGGAGGCAAAGCGGCGTAGGTCTCATCATTTGCTGGCTATAAGGATGACCCTGGGGAAGCCATCTCCCTTCCTGGGGCCTCGAGCTCCTCATCTGTAAAACAGGCACCCTCCCGCCTGGGTTTCCAGCTTCCCTGGAGGCCCGCTGAGTCAGCCAGCGCTGCGAAAAGGCCCCACCCGCTCCGTCCACCCATCACCCACCTCCGATGAGGCGCATCTTCCTTGTACCGTCTGACGATGGAGTCGTTTCCCGGGGGCTCGGCCGTGATTGACATGATGCTGGAACGGCTCCGATGGGGCTGCTTCAAACACACAGACACACGCGGATGCGTTACGGATGAGCTGGGTATTCACAGGCTGTGCCTCGGCGGGCATAAATATTATATACACGGGGACTAAATCTAACTCAGAGGTCATGCAGGCAGTGCGGGCCAGCAAGCCGGGTCTCAGCAGCGACCTTGGCTGAAGAAGGCTTGTGCTCAGCCTGGGGCGGGCAGAGCCACGGGGCTCGGCGCCCATCTGCGTGTCCATCTGCTTGCCGGGGGAGCAGGACAGGGGAGGCGGTGGGAATCCGAGGGGGGTGCCCTGCATGTGCCCGGCACAGGCTCAGCTCTGCCCCCAGGGCTGCCCGGCCATGGGCACCTGCGTGGGACGAGAGGGAGACCTCTGGGCCCGGTGGGGCGGAGTGGGGGGCCACGGATGCCCTTGCAGACAGTGAGGCTGCTGCTGCAGGGTGACCCTGTGGGACGAGGCCCGCCGGCTCCTGGCATAGGGCTTGCCTGAAATAAGAGCCTTGGATTTCACCTCCCAGAGCTACAGTCAGTCAGGAGTCATTCGTTATCAAATCTCTGCCTTCCCCAGGGCCTGATTTTGGAAGCTGAGCTGACAAGCTTCCCAGGGCTTCCCCTCGGGGTTAGAATTTCTAATGGCAGGCCTTCTGCTGCCTGGCCCTGGGGCGGGGTGCCGGGGGGTGGGGGGTGACACTGCCGTGGTGTGGGGATCCTGCCTGCCTCTCCCTGGCGGGCTGGAAGGAGGCATGAGGGGCGCCCGGCTGGCCCTGCTCTGCCATGGGCGGCTCCAGCTGCTACAGCCCCCGCCGGCCACCCCGCTCCAGTTGCCGGAGTCGCCAGGGGCTGAGGAGCAGTGGCGAGGGCTTCAGCCGCCTGTACAACCCATGGAGGCCCGTCTCTCATCCTACCAAGTGTTAAATTGGGAAAGGAGGCGGCAAGAAGCTGTAAATACATCGTGAGGCCGGGAAATGTCTTTAAATAAACACAGGAGGTCTGGGCCTCAGCCCCAGGAGAGGCAAGGAGGCGGGGCTGGGCCCACAGAGCGGGTGAGGCCAGATGGGGGGCCAGGGTGGCAGGGTTGGGGGGGCTTGGCCACGTCCTGGGCCAGAAGGTCTGCGGTGGGTGGGGCCCTCGCTCACCATCTTGGAGAAGGAGTTGGTGACGGGCAGGGACCGGGAGGAGCTGGGGCTGGCGTCCAGGAGGTCCTCTTCCTGTCCCCTCCCTGTCCTCAGCAAGCCGGGCAGGGGGTGTGGGGGGAGGAAGGACAAGGAGAGGCGGTGAGAGCTCTGTGCTCGGGGGGCCGTCCCATCTGGGGAGTGCGTCCTCCCGGGGGGGTGGGGTGGGGGGAGGTGGGCTCCTCACCCCTCCCTCTGGAGGAGGAGCCGGCAGCCAGGTCTGGGGCAGCCTCGTCGAGGAGTGACAATGCCCTGTGTCCTAGGGACAAAGGTGGGCGTCCCTGTGGGTGCTCGGCGTGGAGCAGCGGGAACTGGGGCAGGAACTTGCCTGCCTGGACACCCTGACACCGGAACAGACCCGACCTGAGGCTCTCCTCAGGGGGATGAAGTCCGTGAAACCCGGGCCCCGCCATGAGCCTCTGCAGGCCCCTGGGCTCCTGGCACCGTTGGCTCTGCCCCCAGGAGGCGGGGGCGTGCAGCCCCGCACACTGTGCCGGGGTGGGGGGGGCCGTGCCCAGCGACCTCCCTCTCCCCCTTCCCGGCCCGTCTGTCTACACGCCCCCTTCTCGACGGGTCCTCCTCTGACTGCTCCAACGGCTCTCGCAGCCGTCAGAGTGGCATTCTACCTCCTCACGGACGGCCCCACCCCAGGCCTTGGCCTCCAGAAGAGTCTACGCAGACCCCAGGCACCTGGTTGCAGTGGGTACCCAGCTCACCCGGGACAGACCCTTGCTGGCCGACTGTCACTCCAGGGTCATGCCGAGGGCGTGTGAGTGGGGGTCTGAGGACGGTGTTTTGCAGAGAACCGGGGGCTTATGGGAGAGCTGGGGGCCTCCCACGCCCGGGACTGTGTGGACAGGAGCAGTCCTCTGGCTGACTGGCTGGGAGCCCTAAGCGCCATGTTCAGGGGCTGCAGGCAGACCCATGGGGAGGGGGCCTCAGACGTGACGTTTCCGTGGTCGGGGCTCCAGCCCCTCCAACGACAGCAAACAGTAACGACCATCTGGACACCCCGCCACCACGGGCCCCAGGGACCCCGAGACTCTCCTGGGTTAATCTCGCGGGACTGATGCCCATGATGGGGAAACAGATGGACCGAGCGTCAGCGTGACAGACAGATCAGGGATCTGGGCGTCTCGCTAACCTTGAAAGTCTGATGTTCGCTTCAGGCTGATGGGGGACTTGGCTCTCTGCAGCTGAAAGAGATGGAGCGGAGGGAAAGGCGGAGGACGCAAATCAAACCAGGCCCGCCGCGTCACCCAGGCTGAGCAGAGAAATAAGTCGCGGCCGGGCCACGTCGCCCTCGTCACGTGGCTGCCAGGACCACGGGTGGCGCAGGACACCCGAGCTCACGGCCGTGGCTCCCCGGCCCGAGCAGACAGCTGCCGGGTCAGACAGGCTCCCCGCGCGGGAGGCGGTGCCACGCGGCTCGGACCGTCCCACAGAGGAGAGCAGATGGTCGGGTGGACGCTGTGAGGTGGGGCAGAAGGGCGAGGCTTTCAGGCAGTCAGTGGGCCACCCTCAGCAGCAGGTGCCCGTGGCGCCAGCCCGGCCTCGGAGGTGCTGCTTGAGCCGCCGCTTCCTGGGTGTGACCTGGCGCGGGCGGAGCGCAGGCGGGCCACGTGGAGGTGCACTCACGCGCTCACTCAGTCACTCACTTGCTTGTTCAGTTGCTTTGGAGGCGGTGCCACGCGGCTCGGACCGTCCCACAGCGGAGAGCGGATGGTCGGGTGGACGCTGTGAGGTGAGGCAGAAGGGCGAGGCTTTCAGGCAGTCAGCGGGCCACCCTCAGCAGCAGGTGCCCGTGGCGCCAGCCCGGCCTCGGAGGTGCTGCTCGAGCCGCCGCTTCCTGGGTGTGACCTGGCGCGGGCGGAGCGCCGGCGGGCCACGTGGAGGTGCACTCACGCGCTCACTCAGTCACTCACTTGCTTGTTCAGTTGCTTGCTCACCCAGTTGCTCAATCACTCAGTCATTCACTCACTCTCTCATTCATTCACTCACTCGCTCGCTCACTCATTCACTTGCTCACTCAGTCATTCACTCACTCACTCATTCACTCACTTGCTCGCTCACTCACTCATCCACTCGCTCACTCACCCGCCCGCCCGCATAGAGCCCCGCCCCGCTCCGCCCGACCCCAAGATGGCCCGCCCCGCCCCGCCGTGGGCGGCACCTGGATGCCCTTCAGGTTCATCCTGCGCTTGGGCGGGTGGTGGGGCAGGAAGTAGCGGCTGTCCTCTGGTGAGTCCTCCGAGGTGGAAGAGTCGTCGGCCTCCTGACCGTTGATCCTGGGGCTGGTGTCCCCGAAGTTCTGAGAGATGATGGTCACCGGCAGGTTCCTGGGCAGACTCTGGAGACAAGGAGAGGCCGCGCCCGTCATGAGCGCCCAGAGCGCCCCGCGCACCGGGAAACGGCTCTGCGAACGGCACCATCGCTCACCTCCCTCGGGCACCAAGCTTGGAGCTCCGGGCAGAGGGACGGGGCTGCCCCTCCGTCCTGAACCCTGTGGCCCTCGAGGCCAAGCTCTATCATCCTAGCTCCTCGCTCCTCCTCTCAAGCCCTGCCTGCCTCATCTCCCACTCACCAGGCCCTGGTATGCTTTATAGCAGTGAAGGGATCGCCTCCCAGCTGGTCACGGCCCCTCACCTCGATTTTCTACTCCTGTGCCCAAGCTACAAACATAAAAATTACCGATGAGTGACTGCACCACAATAAAAGGCCTACTGTCCTAAGGGGTTCGCATCTGTGATCTGAGACTGAGGTGCAGAGTATTAAGTACCTTGAGGTTGATCCTCCAAAGCCATGTAACAGCCTCAAGCCATGCTGCCTCCAAACCCAAAGCTCCTGGCCTTTCCTCCCGGCCCCAGATCCTTCACGGTCCAGGAAAAACTCCCAACGAAGCTCCTTAGTGGACAGGCCCACCCTGCTCCTGCTGCTCCCCGCTCCTGCCCATCTCCCGCCTGGCCCCGCCGGCCACTCAAGGATGACAGAACTGCCCACCGCAGGCCATGGGTGTCACACCCACAGGCCTCTGCTTGTGATGTCCCTGTGGCCTGGAATATTGCCCCATCTTCCCTCATCGAGCCCGGCGACATCACAGTGTTGGTTCATAAATGTTTCCCAAAGGGTCCAGCCGTGCCTGGCACTGTGCTATGTGTTGGATACACAGAGGGGCCTACACAGGGCTTCTCCGTGATCATAAACTGTGAGAAATGCTCAAAGGGGAGAGCCTAACCCGAGGCTACTGGTTTCCATGATGGGGGCCACTGATCATCTCGCCAAGGAAGTGACGCTTCCTCCAACCCCAGAAGGGGGGACAGAACTTGGTCAGTGAAGTCCAGGGACAACATCCCCAGTGGAGGTCCCGAGGCATGCCCCCCTCCTGTGGGGAGTCTTTCCTGGAACTCTGACAGAATGGGGGCCTCCTCCCCTGGGCACTCACAGCACCCCTTCAACTCATCATTTACAGCATTTGTGCTGAAAAGTCATGTTCCTGAATCTGCCTCCAGCATCAGACCTGAGTCCTCTGGGCGAAGGGTGAGGGGTGGAGGGTCTTATCCCAGTTCCCCGAGTCACTGGCTAGTGACGCCCTTGGGCAAGTTAGCTGCTTGTGTCCAATTCTACCCTTGGCGAAGGCAGACAGTGATCTCACCGTCCTGGCAAGACGGTCCTGCGGGTTAAAGGAGATTCGCCACAGAAGGCGCTTGGCTCAGGACCTGCAGAACCCACAGCCACGAGAGACGGTATCACCTGCTTGCATGGGCACCACTCACTTCTGAGTGCCTGGGGCCCTGCTGTGACAGGCACTTGAACCTCCCATCGAGATAAGTGATGCTTTCTTTATGGGCCAGAGTGACTGATGGGAGCCGGGCATCTTAAACCCAATGCCCGCCCACATGGGTTTAAGGAAACCCAGTGGGAGGTTAACTGAGAGGGAGCTGCAGTTCTAACTTGGAAGTGACTTGCCTGAGATCCCCTGGCCAGCCGGCAGGTGGCCAGGCCAGGCGTCTGTCCTGCCTCTTCCAGCTTCCACATGAGCAGTAGGTAGCAGTTCTGCCCTATTACATGCATGTGGAACTCTGCTCAGTGTGATGTGGCAGTGGGATGGGAGGGGAGTTTGGGGGGACAGTGGACACATGGATACATATGGTGGAGTCCCTTCGCTGTTTATCTGAAACAGCACTGTTAACTGGCTAAACGCCAATACAAAATAAAAAGCTAAGAAAAAAATGAGCGGTCCGGTCTGTTCATCAGAACAGACACCCAAGGGTTCCCGGGTTCGGGCGGGCGCTCCGGGCGTGGTCAGGACGGCTGTCCTCTGCGGGGCCCCCGCCCACCTGCTCGAGGGTGCCGCAGTCCTTGGAGAGGCGCCGCAGCTTGCTTTCCAGGTTGACGATGCAGGCCTCCCGCCGAACCATCTCAATGCGCATCTCGTCGTTCTTCTCCTCCAGCTCGCGGATCTGCTTCCGGTACTTGTCCTTTTCGATCAGGCACTGGGAGTACTGGGTCTGCGCTTCGTCCCGGGAGTGGAAGGCCTGCCCGGGAGGCGGAGGACAAGGCCGCTGGGTTCTTCGCCCCACCCCACTCCGACCCCCACCCCCAAATCANTGACGGTGTTCATGCGGTGCTTGTACATCTCGCAGTCCTTCCCCAGCGTGGAGCACTTCAGCTCCAGGTCCTCCTTCTCCTCCAGGTACTGCGAGCACAGGGGAGGGACCAATACACGCATCAGGCCATTGACAAACCAGGGCTGACAGCCGGTTCCCAGCCTCGGCTTCCCAGGGCCGGCCCGCCCCTCCCTGTGGCACCTGACCCTCTGAGAGTCAGCGCTCTGACGAGAAGGGACCGCGGTAAAATGCCAGCCCACCAGCTCAGATCTGATGCAGACCTACTATGTGCAGGGGGAGTGGGGGACAGGGTGGACGCCGAGTGTGCCCTCCTGAGGCTTTCAGCCTGGGGTGGGGTGGGGGACAGGGTGGACGCCGAGTGTGCCCTCCTGAGGCCACAGCGGTCAGCCGGGGGCAAGACCAGTGCCATGCGGACACTTAGAACAATTCACAAGTAACTGCAAGGTGTTGACACGCAGGGAATCACACCGGGGCTCAGACCTGGTCCCGGAAGACAGCGCGGGGCCCAGAGGTCCCACAGACACACACAGGAGTCCGGGGCTCCCACCCGGAGCTGCAGCCCCGGCCGTCTGAGGGCCCACCTTGTCCCTCAGCTCCTCCGCCTGGCGGACCTCCTCCTGCAGGTTGTAGATCTTGTTGACGAGCTCCTGCCGGTCCTCCAGGGCCTCCTTGCGGTCATGCTCCAGGATGTCCAGGATGGCCTTGTCTGAGTCTGGCAGGCTGCGCTTCCCGGCCTGCGCAGGTGGGGGGGTGGTGTGTGTGTGGGGGAACGTTTAACGGGGTCTGGGGGTGCAGGGCAGGGAGCAAGGAGGCCCGGGAAGGCGGCAGACAGAAGCGCCAGCGACAGACACGCAGCGAGCGGGAGGCTTTGTGCCAGGGAAGCAGGGGCAAGAGTTGCCGTCTCTTGGGGTCCTTAAGTGGCTTATTACTTATGAGTTTTATCACCTGGAAAGAAGCATAAAACCCACTTCTGCTCAGAAACATCCCGACGCCTACTGTTCTGCCCCGGCTCTTGTCAGAGCGCAGAGAGGCAGCTGCGCAGCTTCTCCGAACATCTCACAGGTGAAGACAGAGACGGGCTGATCCGCCTTGCAGATGCCTCCCTTGAAACATCAACTAATCTGCTCCGATTAAACTGGGCCCCAGTCTCTGCTCTGAACCAGGGCCTTCCACGCCAGGCGGCAATGATCCTGGGGGGCATCACTCTTTCTGGGGGAGGGGGCGGGTGCCTTCCTTCCTCCCCTGCACATGTATTTGGGGCTGTTTTTCCTCTGTACCCACAGATGACTCTGTGATGACAAAGAAGGGGAGGCCCTCGAAGCTTTAACAAATCCCTCACAGCTGAGAGCTGAGTTTCTTGGAATCTTTAAGGCAAGAAGTTTTTCCCGGAAGTACTTTCCTCACAGTGCCCAGGACACTGATTTTTGTGAAATGATTCAATTGAGGGAACAACGTCACAAGTGTGACCTCACATAATGTCTGAGACGTGGGCGGTGCAGACACCCCTGTCGACAGAGAAGGAACTAAGGTGGCCGAGGAGGATGACGTGAATTCTCTGCAGCCCCGTGGTCAGCAAGGGACACCCCGGGGGCGTGCTGCCCCCGCCCTCACCTGGATGATGGACTGCAGCTCCTGGATCTTGGTCTTCAGCATCTCGTTCTCCCGCTCCAGCTCCAGGACTTGCTCCTTCTTGGGCCGGTTTTCTATGTCGTTCTTCAGTTTCAGCGACTGGTTCCTCTCCAGCTTGCATTCCTCCTCCATCTTGTTCAACCGATGCTTGAGCTGGTCAATCTGAAACACCGCCAGGGGGCGAGGGGAGAACCAAGTTGTAGGGAAACATTCAGAACAGGCAGGGCCTCCCCACATCCTGCTGGACTTCCGGCAAGATCCGTGTTCTGTCCCCCTCTCCTCCTCCAGCTGGTGACACCAAAGGGCTCAAAGATACTCTTTCAGCGAAACAAACCACTCCCCTCCTTGTTGAGGAAGAGGTCCTGGTCTGTTAGTTTAGAATAGTGCTTGGGCAGTTATGGTCCTCAGAAAACCTCCTCGGGCAATCTTCATGGGGGTGGAACAGGTTACAGGTTAGGATGGGAGGTTCCCAAGCTGGTGTCTCCCCAAGGTGCACTTTCCACTCTAAAGGTCTTTTCTGATGGGTTTCGAACTCTGATCCTCAGAAGACAAGATTCCTGAAGACCCCTAGTGTTTTGGAAGGGGGCAGGGATGGGGGGAGGGGAATTTGGGCTCTGTCGTGACTTCATGCCCCAGTGCAGCTCTGCTTGCACGTGATTTGGCCTTGTGGGTTTCATCCAAGATTTTATCTGAAGAAATGGCACCACTGCTAAAAGCACAGCTTGAGACTCATTGGACTATAGTTTGGCAGGATCTCTGGCCTAAAGGACCTGGCCAGATTTAGGGTAAGAAAAAATGGCTTCCTGGAGGAGGCGGTTACTAATCTTGGGACTTTGACAACTGGCGATGTGCTGAGCTTCACCCTCAAGAAGTCAGTGTCAGTAACTGGGGACAGGAGAAGACTTCTTAAACTCCTGTGACTAAGTGTGTTTGCCTCCCCAAATTGATCAGCCTTGGCAAAACATCTAAAATAAGAAGATTGTTTTAAGGTTCTGCAAGGAAGAGACCATGAAGGGGTGAGTGTCCTTTTTTCAATTCTAGGCTTTTGAAATCTGGCAGGTAGAGGGCGGTGGCTTTAGCCAGGAGGGGACTTCGGCTGCACCCCTGTGGCCTGAGAAATGGCCTAGGACTCAGCTGGCCAGATATTCTTTCAACCAAAGAGAAAAGTTCTTTTAAGTTCTGATATGCTTTCTTGCTATTACTCTATAGTGAGGAAAACATAAAACAGTCCTAAGAGACAGAGAGTTTTAAATCTCTACAACATCCTCAAATCCTAGATAAAAACAGCATGGAAACCTTTCCTTCTGGTCATGCAAAAAATAAAAAATCCTCACCGTCTTGGAAGATGAATCCAAGTGCCCCTGTTCTAGGTCCATTCGAGTAGACATAAAGTAGGTGCTACTGGGTCAGCCATTTTGCTAAAGACTTATATTTCCGTACAGAGCAATCCTAGGGTGTAGGCTTTATTTTCATTTTCATGTAATTGCCATTTACAAATGAGGAGACCAAGGCAAGGAACTAATCAAGTGGTAAAGCCAGAAGCAGGTCTTGCACTCAAATCCAAAGGACTTAAATGCTCATGCTCTTTGCTTGCTATGCCACTGACTCAGTTCACCTGAATTCCAGTGGACTGTTTACTGATCTGTCTGCTTCAACTAAATTGTAAGTGACCTGGGCAGAAATCAGGTTATTTATCCCTATGTCCCCCACAGTGCTTAGCACCGTGCCTTACACATGGCAGGTGCTTAATAAATATTCCAAAAGTCTATTTTCTGCCCAGCAGACAGAGTGATCCTTCTAGATATAAATCAGTTGTCAGTCTCAGCTCTCAATCCTTCAGTGGCTTCCATCACTCCTGGAATAAATTCTAAAGTTCTTACCAAGCCCCCATGATCTGGACCCTGGCCATCTCTTCAAGCTGCTTGCTCATCTGGCTCCAGCCTTGCCAGCTCTCCTGCTGTTTCTCAAAAATACCAAGCATGCCCCTACCTGGGGTCTTTGCACTCACTCTCTGCTCTTCCTCCTGAGACTTCCATGACTGGCTCCCTCCCTTTCCTCAGATCTCTGCTCCTGTGTCCCCTTCTCAGGAACCCTTCCTGACCATCCTATCTAAAACAGGATCCCTCACTCACTATCCCCAAATTCTTTTCTCCTTCTTTTTAATAGCACTGATCACTACCAGGTATTGATGTACTTGTTTTCTGATTACAGTGTGAGCTCCCTGACAGCAGGGCTTTGGTCGTGAGTTATGTATTCCTGGAACAGAGCCTGGTGCAAGGCAGTGCGCAGTAAATAAAAGGAATGAATGAGTTAAGCCAATTCCCTTCTCCGTCTCCCTTTCGAGGTGAACATTAACGACGTCCATCACTCGACTACTGGGTTGTTCAGTGATATTCCACGGTGTCACGCTGAGCTGTGCAGAGAGATAAGCTGTGAAGAGGAGAGGCCTCGCCTCAAGGACCTCACAACTCCAGGGGACAAGTGCTGAGCCCGTCTCCTTGATGATTTTCCTGAGGGCCACTGGGGCGGGCAGATCCCTAGGTCCTCTACCCCCCCCCCACACACGTGTGATTCAGGGCACGTGGGCGCGTGTCTGGCACAGGCACCTGGCGGGGTCGGGTTCCGGAGCAAGAGGAAAGCCCCGTCGGATCGAGGCATGCGTGTCCCCTCATGCGGATGCCTGCGCATGCGCACAGGGGCTCCACGAGGCTCCTCAGCAGGAAGTCCAGGTCAGCAGGTCCGTGTGCGCATGTGCAGACATACGCGTGGTTGCTGGGGGCGGGGCTAAACTGTCCACGCTAAGCCTCGCTGGGTGGGCACACGCATGCGCACAGTGACCTTCGCGCTCCCTCACCTGGCCAGGCAGCCTGCTGCTCCTTGCCCCGGGGCTTCACCTTTGTTCAGTGGGGCCCCGGGGGTCCCGCCGCTCGCCCCTCACCTCGAGCTGGAGGTCTCGGCTGCGCATGACCGCCATGTTTTTCTCCTCGCTGAGCTGGGCGTAGCGCATGGCCAGGTTGTAGTTGTCGTCCTTCACCTTGACCAGCTCGTCGTTGTAGCTGTCTCGCTCCTCTTTCATCTTGTAGTAGCGCTCCTGGAAGGTCAGCAGCTCCACCCGCGTCAGCGTCAGCTGCTTCTTCTCGTCCTCCAGCTGCCGGGACTTGGCCAGCAGCTCGCACCGCTGCAGGTCCTTGGCCTTCATCTGCTGCTGCAGCTTGATGACCTCGTTCATCAGGAAGTGCGTGAGGCCCTCGTGACCCTCCTCCACTGTGGAGAGGGGGCACTCAGTCAGGCCTGAGGACTGGGGAGGCCAAGAAGGGTTCCAGACCTGGGGCTGCGTCACTCGTTCACTCCCTAACGTCCCACTGAGTGCTCACTACCCACTGGGCACTGGGGATTCAGGGTGAGCGAGACAGCCTTGGTCCCAGGAGAGCTTATGTCTGGTAAGGGAGATAGACATTAAAAAAAAGCAAATGATCACACACGAATGTAACTACAGACTGAGACAGTTTCACAAAGTATAGGGGCCCATGAGAGTGTGTAACGGGGGACCAGATCCAGCGGACTGGATGGAAGCATTAGAGAAGGCACTTGATGGATGAGCTGAAGTCTTGAGGAGAGAAAACACATTCTAGGAAGGCTGGACAACATGGCCAAGGTCCTAACGAAAGGGAGGAGGGACCTGGTACATTTCAGAAACTGAAGGAAGACCCAAGTGGCTGGAGCTTAGAGACAAAGCCAGAAAGGTGAGACTGGGAGTATCGTTAGGCGCTAGACCATGGAGGGTCCTTGTGGGCTGCACCTGGGTCTTTAAATTGAAACACTGGAAAGTCACGGAATGGGTTTAAGTGGGGGAGGGTAACGTGAGGAGTAGAGACATCACTGGAGCAGCAAAGGAATGGATATAAAGGGTTGATAAGGTTTGTAAGGGTCTTGACTAGGGTGGTGGTGTATATGGAGAAAAGACTGACTCAAGAATATTTAGGAAGGAGAATTAAGACAACAAGATGACCACGGGCTCTGGTTCATGTGATGCTGGCAAGAAAGCAGGCAAGGACAAGATCCAGAGGGGAGTGTTAGTTTCTGCTCCACACACCAACACTCCTGGGGGGAAGCTCAGTGAACACCCACTTCTCTGGGCTCTTGATTCAGTTGTCCCGCTGTCACCCACCTTTCATCATCAGGCAGAAATAAGTGGTTGACAGTTCACAAGTGCCACCAGGGCACCATCCTGATATCACAGCTTCATAACCTGACATCTGTCCCACCGCTGGACGGACACACACACACACACACACACGTACACAAACTCCTCTCCTACCACAGGCAGAATGCTGATGGCAAAGCCACTTACCCACAATGGTGGAGAACCTCCGAGTAGGTTCCTTCCCAGTCACCAGTTTGTATAATTCTGGGTAGTAAAATTCCAAGCTCTCCAAGAAAACCACATAGCCCCTTTGCCCCTTGGTATGTAGAATGTCCAACAGTCGACCTAGAGAAAACGTCAGATCACTCAGAGGGAAGAGTACATGTCTGACTGGATGCAAGACTCCAGACCCAGTCTTATACTCGCTCGTATTCATCAGTACACTCTTAAGAAGATGGTCTCCACCTCCTGTCACTCCGAGTTATATCTTACAGTCCAGATAATGTAAATCAAAGTGCCAGGCCCTCAGCAGGGGTTCAGTATTAGCTTCCTTTCTCCAGAGCTTTCCAGGCACCAATGGTAAAGAATCCACCTGCTAAATGCAGGAGACATAAGAGACGCGAGTTTGAAACCTGGGTTGGGAAGATCCCCTGGAGGAGGAAATGGCAACCCACTCCAGTGTTCTTGCCTGGAGAATCCCATGGACAGAGGAGCCTGGCGGGCTACGGTCCATGGGGTCGCAGAGAGTCAGACACGACTGTAGCAACTTAGCATGCAAGCAGGCAGGTGCAGTACGCAAAGCAGCTAATTTTGAGCCCCCCTGGTGGTTCAGACGGTAAAGAATCCGCCTGCAACGCAGGATACCCAGGTTGAATCCCGGGGTGGGGAAGATCCCCTGGAGAAGGGAATGGCAACCCACTCCAGGATTCTTGCCTGGAGAATTCCATGGAGCCTGGTGGGCTACAGTCCATGGGGTCACAAAGTGTCGGACATGAGCGACTAATGCTTTCCTTTCTACAAGAAGTTGGTAGAACCAGAATGAACGGAATTGCAGGCATAGGAAACCAATGGTTTTAAAGAACTTCCCAATTGCCTGGGGCTAAAATTAGCCACCCAGGTAACAGCTCATCTTTGATAGAAGGAGGATGGACGTGCAGCAGCAATTACAGAGTAATCTATGGCTCTCTGGGGTTCAGACCTGGAAGACCAGTATTTGGATGGGGACCCAGGAAAGTCAGAAAGCAGGGCAGCTCCATGTTCTTCAGTGTGATTATCACATAGTCTGGAAACATCTGTAAGTGTAATGTCCTTGGCAGTTTTCAAGGAAAACTGTTTATCCTACCGGTTCCACTTACTGTTTCCATTTCTTGACCCTTCCTTAAACATTTTATTTTCAGTTATTTCTTCCTTTGAGGTCCTAAAACTCTATGCTTCCCCTAGGATAGACTTAATAAATAAACTTCATCTTGTGTCAATTGACTCTTTGTCAGAGCTACCTGGAGCACTGTGTTGAGAGGGGTTCTAAAGTTACATCCAAGCTCAGCAGGAAAGCGCGCTGTGATTAGTGATGTCTGTCATGTAAGCAAGAGAGTCACAGCGTACGAGCTGCTCATCACCTGTCATGCTGTGGGCAGGCTAGTCTCAAGCCTCTCAAGCTGGGAACCACAGAAAGAAATGTATCTTACATTGTGACCATATGCTTACACACAAAGACATATTTTGTTACAAACATATGCGTGTATATACACACATATGTATATAAAACCAGAACAATGTTCACAAACCACACTTATTTTACCTTTAATGCAAATGTGATAAATGTGATAAAGTGTCATGGATCCCTAGGCAGTCTGGAAAAGCCTACAGACTCTTTATCAAAATACTGTTTTTGAACTGATTAAAATACATTGGGTTACAAAGGGAATCAATTATAAGAAGATACAGTAACAAATATTAAATTTGCAGCTCCGTAATAAACGTGCTTCTTTATTAATGCATTAAATAACCCAATCTCTCGGCAAGTCTAATAACTGCAATAATTTCAAGCGAGAGGTGACTATAAATGGTAATTTTGGAATATCTCTTAATAGCTGTAATGTGATAAGATATCTGGAATGCTTACTGTTGACAAGGTCACAAGTATCGCTAATCACTGTGGTCTGTTGCTCAGCTATGTTCATCACTGGAGGGAGTGCTAAGTGTTAGTGTAGGTTAGTAAAATAAAGAGGCCCCGTCCCCACACCCCATCCAAGTTCGCAGCTCCTCTCTGCGCACGGACAGCTGGGTGGGGGACCAGGGGTGGCCAGAGGCGTGTGGGTCCCAGCCAAGAAGCCCCTGAACGAGGGGAGCTTCACGTTGCCGCCGCTTGCTGCAGAGAAGCCGCTGAGGTTACCTGCCCGGTTGATCTTGGACGGCAGCATGGGGGCGTTGAGCACCTCATCTTCATCCTGCTCGTCGATGACCTTGCACTGGCGCAGGTAGGGGGTGAGCTTGGCGGGGTTGATGTAGCGACTCAGCATGTGCCGGTTGCACTCCACGTTCTCCCACAGGGCGTCCTCCTCATCCTTCAGCGTCTCCATGTAGTCGTCCATCTCGGGCGCTCCTCCTTCCAGACACAAACCCCAACACGGTTAATCAGAGAGCCTCGCGGGACGAGCTCTATCAACTCTGGAGAGATCTCCAGGATCTACTGTTGAAGAAGGTAGAGAAGAGGATACACAGTAGTTTACCTTTTATTTAAGAAAGGAAGGCACGTGAATACAGACAATATAATTCTTTATGTGCTAAACATAAACAATGGATGACTAAGTCATAAAATAAAAATTATAGACAGGGAAAACTTTGAGGTTGGCATATATCCTTTCCATCCAAGTTTTTATATCTTACTAAGAATTTATCTTTTGGAAAACAATATATGCTATACTTTTTGTTTTACAGTCTCACATAAACGGTGTCATACTATATGCTTTCTTGTTTCCTTTTTCAACTTGCTTTTTTTTTCCTTTATGCATTTATTGAGATTTACCTAGGTTGATATGTACAGACCTAATTCATTCATTTTTAAAAACAGCTTTGTTGAGATATAATTCATGTACCATGTAATTCACCTTTTAAAAGTGTACAATTCAATGCTTTTTCGTATATTCCCAGAACACAATTCATTTTAGAAAGTATTCATCACCTCCCAAAGAAACTTCCTACCAAGCGTAGCAGTCACTCCCCACTTCCCTCCAACACCGCCCCTCCCCAGCCTCAGGCAATCACTGCTCCACAGGCTCTACAGACTTGCTGCTTCCGGCCATTTCACTTAGATGGGATCACACGATAAATGGTCTTTTCTGACTGCTCCTTTTCAAGGTTCATCCATGCTGTAAGTAGCATGTCTCAGCACTGCTTTTTATTGAGGAATACTTTTTCATTGTTTGGATATATCGCACCTTGTTTATCCATCCATTGATGAGTATTCGGGTTGTCTGGTTATTATGAATTGTGCTACTGTGAAGATTCATGTTCAAGTCTTTGTAGATGCGTTTTTATTTCCCTTGGGCAGATAGGCAGAAGCAGAATTGATGAGCCATATGGTAACTCTATTTTAACATTTTGAGGAACTGCTGAACTGTTTCTCAAAGTGGCTGCACCATACTATATTCCTGCTAGCAATGTACAAGGTTTGGATTTATCCACATTCTTGTCAGCACTTGTTATTGTCTGTCTTTTTGTTTTTCACTATAGCCGTCTGAACAGGCGGGAAGTGGTATTTCATTGTGGCTTTGATTTGATTTCTCTAAAGACTAATGACGTTGAACATCTTGTGTGCATATCAGTCGCTTGTGCATTGAGAAATGTCTGTTCAAATCCTTTGCCCATTTTTAAAGGGCATTGTTTTTATTATGGAATTTTTTAATGTGTTCTGGACACAAGTCAGATATGATTTGCAGATATTTTCTCCTATCCTGTCAATTATCTTTTCATTTTCTTAAAGGTATTATTTGTAGCATAAAAGCTTTTAATTTTGATGTAGTCCAATTTCTTTTTTCACTTCTGGTTTTGCTGTGTATCTAAGAAACCATTGCTTACTTAATTCAAGGTCATAAAGATTTACTTCTATTTATTTTTCTAACAGTTTTATACTTTTAACTCTCACATTTAGGCTTACGATGCATTTTTAAGTTAATTTTTGTGTATGGTGTGAGGTAAGGGTCCAACTGTTTTTTACATGTGGATATTCAGTTGTCCTGGGGCTTCCTTGATGGCTCAGTAGGTAAAAAATCTGTCTGCCAATGCAGGAGACATAGGAGACATGGGTTCAATCCCTGGGTCGGGAAGATCCCCTGGAGGAGGAAATGGCAGCCCACTCCAGTACTCTTGCCTGAAAAATCCCACGGACAGAGGAGCCTGGTGGGCTACGATCCAAAGGGTTGCAAAGATTCGGACATGACTGAGTGACTAAACGGGCTTGTGTACGAACACACACACACACACACACACACACACACACAAACACACAACACACTCGGTTGCCTCAGCACAATTTGTTGAAAAGATTCTTCTTTCCCCATTGAATGGTCTTAGCACCTTTGTCAAAAATCAATTGACCGTAAAAGTTTAAGTGTTTATTTCTGGACTGTCAATGCTATTCCATTGATCTGTATGTCTGTCCTTAGGCCAGTACCCCACTCTCTTCATTACTGTAAATGAATAGCTAAGTTTTAAAATTGGGAAGTGTGAATCTTCCAACCTTGTTCTTCGCATTTCAGATTGTTTCGTCTATTCAGGGCCCTTGGCAATTCCATGTGAATTTTAGGAATCAGCTTGCCAATACTTGCAAAAAAAAAATTAAAATATCTGGGATTTTGACAGTGGATCCACTGAATATGTAGATGAATTTGAACAGCAATACTATTTAACAATTACATGTTATGCTTTGAGAATATGGCTTCCCAGGTGGTGCTAGTGGTAAAGAACCCACCTGCTAATGCTGGAGAGGTAAGGGACGCCAATTCAATCCCAGGTCAGGAAGATTCCCTAGAGAAGGGAATGGCGACTCACTCCAGTATTCTTGCCTGGAGAATACCATGGACAGAGGAGCCTGGTGGGCTACAGTCCTTGGGGTCGCAAACAGAATATGGAATGTGTTTCTTCTAATTCAGATCTCTAATTTCTTTCTGCAATGCACTGTAGTTTCTTCTTGCATTGTACACTTCTTATGCTAAATTTATTCCTAAGTATTTTATTCTTTTTGATGGCATTATAAATGTGGGCTATAGTATTTATCTTACTTCTGTCTTTTCAGTATGGATGCCTTTCCTTTTCTTTTCTTCCCCCTCTCTAATTTCCCAGGCTAGAACTTCTAACACAGTATTACATGGAAGTGGCAAGAATGGACATCGTTGTCTTGTTCTTGACCACAGGGGAAAAGCATCCAGTCTGTCACCATTAAGCACAATGTCACCTGGTTGAGTGTGTGTGTGTTTCAGACATCCTTTATCAGGTTGAGGAAACTCCCTGAGTATTCTATTTATTTTTCTAACAGTTTTATACTTTTAACTCTCACATTTAGGCTTACGATGCATTTTTAAGTTAATTTTTGTGTATGGTGTGAGGTAAGGGTCCAACTGTTTTTTACATGTGGATATTCAGTTGTCCTGGGGCTTCCTTGATGGCTCAGTAGGTAAAAAATCTGTCTGCCAATGCAGGAGACATAGGAGACATGGGTTCAATCCCTGGGTCGGGAAGATCCCCTGGAGGAGGAAATGGCAGCCCACTCCAGTACTCTTGCCTGAAAAATCCCACGGACAGAGGAGCCTGGTGGGCTACGATCCAAAGGGTTGCAAAGATTCGGACATGACTGAGTGACTAAACGGGCTTGTGTACGAACACACACACACACACACACACACACACACACAAACACACAACACACTCGGTTGCCTCAGCACAATTTGTTGAAAAGATTCTTCTTTCCCCATTGAATGGTCTTAGCACCTTTGTCAAAAATCAATTGACCGTAAAAGTTTAAGTGTTTATTTCTGGACTGTCAATGCTATTCCATTGATCTGTATGTCTGTCCTTAGGCCAGTACCCCACTCTCTTCATTACTGTAAATGGATAGCTAAGTTTTAAAATTGGGAAGTGTGAATCTTCCAACCTTGTTCTTCCCATTTCAGATTGTTTCGTCTATTCAGGGCCCTTGGCAATTCCATGTGAATTTTAGGAATTAGCTTGCCAATACTTGCAAAAAAAAAATTAAAATATCTGGGATTTTGACAGTGGATCCACTGAATATGTAGATGAATTTGAACAGCAATACTATTTAACAATTACATGTTATGCTTTGAGAATATGGCTTCCCAGGTGGTGCTAGTGGTAAAGAACCCACCTGCTAATGCTGGAGAGGTAAGGGACGCCAGTTCAATCCCAGGTCAGGAAGATTCCCTAGAGAAGGGAATGGCGACTCACTCCAGTATTCTTGCCTGGAGAATACCATGGACAGAGGAGCCTGGTGGGCTACAGTCCTTGGGGTCGCAAACAGAATATGGAATGTGTTTCTTCTAATTCAGATCTCTAATTTCTTTCTGCAATGCACTGTAGTTTCTTCTTGCATTGTACACTTCTTATGCTAAATTTATTCCTAAGTATTTTATTCTTTTTGATGGCATTATAAATGTGGGCTATAGTATTTATCTTACTTCTGTCTTTTCAGTATGGATGCCTTTCCTTTTCTTTTCTTCCCCCTCTCTAATTTCCCAGGCTAGAACTTCTAACACAGTATTACATGGAAGTGGCAAGAATGGACATCGTTGTCTTGTTCTTGACCACAGGGGAAAAGCATCCAGTCTGTCACCATTAAGCACAATGTCACCTGGTTGAGTGTGTGTGTGTTTCAGACATCCTTTATCAGGTTGAGGAAACTCCCTGAGTATTTTTGTCACAAAAGGGATGTTTGATTTTGTCAAATGCTTTCTCTGCCTCCATTGAGATTACCATATAGTATTTAGTTTTGATTCTATTAATATATTACATTAACTGACTTTCGGGCATTAAACAAACCTTGAATTCTTGCTGTAAATCCCAGTTAGTTACAGATTTGTTGGATTTGGCTTGCTAGTATGTTTTTGAGCCTTCTGGCATCCATAGTTATGAGAGATATTAGTTGGTACTTTTCTTTCCTCAAGATGTCGGACTGGTTTTGACATCAGGATACTTTTTACCTCATAGAGTAAACTGGGAAGTGTTCCTTCCTCTTGCACTTCCTGGGAAAGTTAATGAAGAACAGGCATACTTTTGTCTTTGTTTGGTAGAGGCTTTGCTTGGTGGGTAGGTTTTTGATTACTAATTCTTTACTTGTTGTAGGTTTGCTCATATTTCCTGTTTTTCTTGAGTCAGTTTCAATAGCTTGTGTCTGTCTAGGAATCTGTCCATTTCATGTAAGTAACCCAATTTTTTTGAAACAATGTTCATATTTTTCTTTTATTTTTATTTTGCCTCTTATTTCTTTAATAAGGTTAGTAGCAGTGTCCCTTGTTTTATTCCTGATTCTAGTAATTTGGATCATCTCTTTTTTCTTGGTCAGTCTAGCTCAGGGTTTGTTGATATTTCAAAGAACAACTTTTGGTTTCACTGATTTTCTCTATTGCCTTTCTGTTCTCTAACTCATTTATTTTTGTCCTAATATGTGTTACTTCCTTCCTTCTGTTTGAGTCAGATTCACTTTGCTCTTCTTTTTCTAGCTTCACAAAGTGGAAGGTCAGGTTACTGATTTGAGATCTTTAAAAAAATATTAACATGTATAGCTATACATTCCCCTCTGCTTTAGTGACGCCAGTTAAGTTTCAATATGTTGCATTTCCATTTGCCTGGAAGTAAAATGGGAAAACCCAAACGAACCTTTTGGCCAGCCCAATACTTTGGCTGTAAGGTTTTTCTCCTGTAGATGATAGATAAGAGATCTTATTGTTTTAATCTAATCTGACAATCCCTTAATTTCTATTGGTTTATTCATTCTTAACTGCTGTATATATTATTCCATTGCCAGAATACACCATAATTTATTTCTTCAGTTCTCTATAATGGATATTTAATTTCCCCCCAACTTTTTACTTGAACACTTAACATTATTTGTAGTTGGAAAAAATGTAAGCAATCCAGACATTCTTCAGTAGATATTCAATGATCCTTTCGCATTATGGAATAACATTTTGAAAATATGTGGTAACATAAAAAGATCCCAAGACATTGTTTTTTTTAAAAGTAAAGACAGGTATATATTCATACATACATACATGTGGTATAATTTAAAATGGATCTGGGGACTTCCTGGTGGCCCAGTGGTTAAGAATCTGCCTGCCAACGCAGGGGACCTAGGTTTGATCCCTGGTCTGGGAAGATTCCGCGTGCCGAGGGACAACCAAGCCTGAGGTCCACAGCTACTGAGGATCACAACTACTGAGGACCACAGCTACTGAGGACCACAACTACTGAGGACCACAGCTACTGAGGTACACAGCTACTGAGGACCACAACTAGTGAGGTCCACAACTAGTGAGGACCACAACTACTGAGGACCACAACTACTGAGGACCACAGCTACTGAGGACCACAACTAGTGAGGTCCACAACTACTGAGGACCACAACTACTGAGGACCACAGCTAGTGAGGACCACAGCTACTGAGGACCACAGCTACTGAGGTCCACAGCTACTGAGGACCACAGCCACTGAGGTCCACAGCTACTGAGGACCACAACTAGTGAGGACCACAGCTACTGAGGACCACAACTAGTGACGACCACAGCTACTGAGGACCACAGCCCAGAGGCCGGGCCCTGCAGCAAGAACAGTCCCCGGGATGCGGAGCGGGCGCACGGCAGCCAGAGAGCAGCCCCTGCTCGCCGCAGCTGGACACAGCCTGTGCCCAGCAAAGACCCAGGGCAGCCAGAATTAGTAAGTCAATAAAATGTAAAGCATATGTAATTTTATAAATATATATATATATATTTGGTCTTTGCCCTGGTTCTGGGCAAGGAGCTCCAGGATTCCGAGAGGGATATCCCCCAGAGGGTTAAGAGTGTTTTTTGGTATGGTAATGGGATGACTGTTGGGTAAGGGGCCACAGGAGCTTCAGGATGGGAACTGAAAAACCAAGCAAGTGATTATAAGGTTATAGCTTTCAAGGGGGAGAGGCTAGAGATTGAGTCCAGTCACCATTCCGAGAATGAGTTAATCAATCATGGTTACGTTATAACACCTAATAAAAATCCCTGCACAACGGGATGCAAAGAGCTTCCAAGTTTCTGAACTCCAGCCCCTGCTGGCGTGGGTGCCATCTCAACGCCAGGGAATTGACGCTTCTGTGTTCTGGAGCTCCTTGCGTGTGCTTTCATTTGTGTCCGTGACAATAAACTGTCATGATAAGTAGTGTTTTCCCGAGTTATCTGTGAGTCATTCCAGCAAACACAGCACCTGGCCAGGAGGCTCGGGAGACCCTGATTCGCGGCTGCCGAGCCAGAGTGCAGGTGGCCCAGGGTGCAGGGCCAGTGTCCGAGGCGGGGCAGGCGTGGGGGCTGAGCCCTGGGCCTGGGGCGGCTTGGTTGCCTCTGGGCGGTCAGTGTCAGAACCGAACTGAACTCGTGGAAAAAATGACACGTGCTTGGTGTCGGGAAAACACCACACGTTTGGTGTCGGAAAAATAACACAATGCAGTGTGAAGTCACTCATGTAAGGCAACACCTGTAATTACAGAGGTAGGCTGTATGGGCGCGCGCGTACGTGTGTGTGTGTGTGTGTGTGTGTGTGTGAAAGAGGGAGAAGGCAGGAGAGAAACAAGGGGAGTGGAGGGGAAGAGAAGGGGAAGGAGGGAGGGGGGAAGTTTGAGAGGCTCTGATTACACTGATCCTATCTAAGAAGTGGGATGAATTCTGAGGTTACTGGGCAGGACAACTTGGATGTTATCAGTACTATTTACAATGCACATGTTTCATCATATTACTTGCATAGTTTGAAAAAAAGAAAAAAAAGAATCAATAACAAAGATGACAGCCCAGTCTAGGGCAACAGAGACACCAATATCTAACATCTGCCTTCCCACTCCTGTCCTGAGATGGCCACAGATCTGATGTCTGTGTGTGCGCGCTCAGTCGTGTCTGACTCTTTGTGACCCATGGACTGTAGCCCACCAGGCTTCTTTGTCCATGGGATTCTCCAGGCAAGAATACTGGAGTGGGTTGCCATTTCCTTCNTGACTATAGCCATGAAATTAAAAAGACGCTTGCTCCTTGGAAGAAAAGCTATGACCCACCTAGATAGCATATTAAAAAAAGCAGAGACGTCGCTTTGCTGACAAAGGTCCATCTAGTCAAAGCTATGGTTTTTCCAGTGGTCATGTATGGATGTGAGAGTTGGACTATAAAGAAACCTGAGCGCTGAAGAATTGAGGCTTTTGAACTGTGTTATTGGAGAAGACTCTTGAGAGTCCCTTGGACAGCAAGGAGATCAATCAGTCCATCCTAAAGGAAATCAGTCCTGAATATTCATTGGAAGGACTGATGCTGAAGCTGAGACTTTGATACTTTGGCCACTAGATGTGAAGAACTGACTCACTGGAAAAGACCCTGATGCTGGGAGAGATTGGAGGCAGGAGGAGAAGGGGACAGCAGAGGGTGAGATGGTTGGATGGCATCACTGACTCAATGGACATGAGTTTGAACAAGCTCCGGGAGTTAGTGAAGGCCAGGGAAGCCAGGCGTTCTGCAGTCCATGGGGTCACAAAGAGTCAGACATGACTGAGCGACTGAATTGACTGAAAGAGACAGTGGGGCGGGTGAGTGCTGAGGGCAATGAGCTAGAAGGTGCATCAGAGTGGCCCAAGGCTGCACTTGGCTGCAGTAACACGCCCAGGCAGGTTGAGGCTGTGGAGGCAGAGAGGGTATAAGGGAGACAGAGGAAGTACATCTGTGGGTGGAGCTGCAGTGAGAGACCCCGAGCACCCTCAAGCGGCTGGAGCCATCTCTCCAAGTGTGCAACCCTACTTCCCCGCCTGTGAGCCCTGGCCACGTGTGATGTCTGGTTCTTGCTCCATCAAGAATCTCCCCATTAATCTGAGCTGTTCTAAGTGGGCTTTTGCTCTGAACAACTCAAGCACCTTGGGTGAAAATACCTGTGTGCTGTTATGAGCAACAACTGGTTTATAGAGGGGGTTTAAAAGTGGGGACATTCCATCCAATGACCTTTGCCCTTCTGCTCATGTCCTAAGCACTGGCCACTTGGGTCACGTGTGGACAGTCTGTGGTTCAGTGCAACACAAACACATCTCCTACAAGTGCTCACTCTGAAACACGTCAGCATGACAGTTTTCCACTCACAAAGGAAAATGCACTCAGCTTCACTATTTTGAAAGAGTCAACATCCTAAGAAGTTGATTCAACAAGTCATTAAGTGGGCGAACACCGCCTCATTCATCCCCTTTTCCTGCTTACGGAATCCCTATCGTCTTCAGGAACCAGGTGGCCTCATATTTCAGGGAGGCTGGGCAACTTCTGAGCAGCAAGAGGTGGATCCTGTTTTGGTCTCTACCTAACAAGGTGGTCTAGTTTGATGTCAGACTAAGTACGTGAAGCGTTTATGACCTGTAGAACCGCAGGGAAGTCTGCTGGGGGGCAATTCTGGTGCTGTTCCTCGACCTTTGATAGGAACACAGGAAGGGATACAGTCCTTGAGCACTGGGATATTGCATGTGAATGTGTGTGTGATGCTGGGATCGCTGCAGCCACCGTGTGACCTGAGGACTCCTGTAAGGACAAAACGAACACCCTCATGATGGCAGAGCAGAGACAGGGAAAGAACCCGGGACTCCGGTGGTGTCGCCTCCTGGGTACTCACCTACAGGCACCTGTCTGTGGTTGAAAGAAACCTGCTGAAAAACATGTTCAAGGCTCCCAGTCCATGTTCTACAGGAAGGGCTATTTTGAGCACCTATTTTTTTTTTAAAGAAGTTCTTTATTATTATTACTTTTTGATCGTATAGAATGTGGGATCTTAGTTGTCTCATCAGGAATTGAATTCACACCCCGTGCAGTAGGAGGGTGGAGCCTTAACCTCTGGGCCACTAGGGAAGTCCCTTCCTCACCCTTTTACAGGCCAAGGAGACCACCTGCCAAGACAAATGCCGTGGCAGCTGCTGGTCTCATGGCCCTTCCTCATTCACTGGAAACATGGATCGTGTGGACCCTTCTCTGCTATGATACAGTCTAGCATCTTTGTCTTGACCTCCAAGCTGAGGCCTCCCGCCAGCCCCTATGGTCGTGTCCCAGCTGACCAACTTGGATTCTCCGCCAGATCCCTGCTCACTCAACGCCTGCTTCCAGCGCCTCCCTCTGCCTGGAACCCGCCCCTCTCTGCTCCCCTGGTGAGTCTCAGGAAACCCTCCCTTTACATTTATTTTCCGTAAAGGAGATGATGCGACGTACCTGGCATAGGGTCGGCACTTGGCAGACGGGAGGTGCCCGCCCGTCACTGAGGTCTGACTTCTTCCTACTCCTCCCGGCCGGGGCTGGTCCTGCCCTCAGCCAGTCTCCTGGGTGTGGAGTTGTGCGGGCCAGGATCTGTGAGAGGGAAGATGGTCCGACTTAGCACAGAAAACCACTCAAACAGCCAAGGGGGGCCCTGCTCTGGAAGGAAAGAATGAAACGATCCCAGAGCCCGCATCTCTCCAGGGGCTGGACACGCCGTGGACCAGGGCCTGGAGCTGCTGCGGGAAGGGGCGGGCACCTGTCCTGACAGCTGCTGGGCTCCCTTGGCGGGGGGCTCCAGGCGGCTGCTTAAAGCCCACAGCTGCACTCGGAGGTGACGGGGACCCGGGACACCATCGTTTAATCAGAAACTTGCTGGGTTTTGGCTTTGAGGATTAATCACAGGTGACACCAGATCTCCCAGGGCTGACAGAAGCTCTTCTCGTCGGGTGTCAGCTTGGATAGGAGTGAGCTGTCACAGGCCCTCAGCCCCAGGGGTGGGGGGCGGGAGACGAGCTTCTCTGGAGGACGCCGTCTCCTTGGTCTGCTCAGCAGCCTCCTCAGGGCAGGGCCAGCCTTGGCCCACAATCCCCCGCCCAGGGAAATGACACTTCTCTGTATTTGCATTAAAAAGAAGGATGCACTTGCATTTTTTCCTTTCTTATAATCAGAAGAAAAAGCTTTAAGAAAATTAATTGTAAGAGAGGTTTTAATTGCAGGAAAGGGAAAGCAGGTTTGTGCAGGAAATGGCAACCCACTCCGGTATTCTTGCCTGGGAAATCCCATGACAGAAGAACCTGGCGCGCTACAGTCCATAGGGTCGCAGAGTCAGGCACGACTGAACACGCACACATACAACTGCCAACTTGGTCCTAAGGTCGGAGAGAGGACATGCTTCCTGAGAGTCTGACTCATCGGGTTAACATTCAACTGGTGGAAACATCATCCCTGGGCTTACAGACTATTTACTCTGCCAGGCACTTGGCTAAGCCTAACTGCTGGAGAACTCTTTGAGACAGGTGGTTTTATTACCGTCACCATCAACATCACCACCATCACCATCATCACCACTATCATCACTACAGTACAGCCAAGAAAAATCAAGCCTGGGACAGGTTCAAAGTCATAATTAGCGTGGAAGGCAGGATGTGGACTTCCTTTAAATCAGCTACTATACAGCCCTTAGAATTGCCTTAAAAAAAAAAAAAAAAAGTTCACCTTTTAAACGACTCTAACCAGTGTGGGGCTTCCCTGATAGCTAAGTTGGTAAAGAATCTGCCCGCAGTGCAGGAAACCCTGGTTCGATTCCTGGGTCGGGAAGATCCCCTGCTGAAGGGAAAGGCTGCCCACTCCAGTGTTCTGGCCTGGAGAATCCCATGGACTGTATAGTCCACGGGGCTGCAGAGAGTCAGACACGACTGAGCGACTTTCACTTTCACCCAGTAGGTGTATGTACAAAACGTCCCTGAAATATCACTTTAACAAGTGTAAAGACACAACTAAAACCAAGCTCTAAGATAGCAGAGCAGATACTGGCTCAGGATTCGAAATAGCTCTGCTCCTCAAAGGAGGAATCAATTGCTTGGTGAGTTAGGAGCTTCCTGTCATCGGTGTTATTCAAGCACAATCAGCCAGTGATTATCCCCCTCCAGGGAAGCCCGCGACGCACGCAGAGCTGGCACGCCCAGTTTCTGCTGCCTCTCACGTAAGAATAGACAGCCAGCCAAGGATCGCTCCAGGTTCGAGAAAAGTCTCCCCATGAAAGGAAGACATCGAAAGAGACAAACTGCCCCAAGGAAGCTGCAGGAAGCTGACGATGCACACAGTAAGAGAAAACTGAAAAAACAAAACCAAACCAAAAGACAATCCGATAATTAAAATCCGTGAAGAGATTAGCTAAGATACTGTAGCCAAAGAACAATGCAGGGTGCTTTGACAAGGCAACAATCAAACAAGAAGAAAAAGTTCTTAAGAGATTAAAATAAAGTAAGTGGAAGCTTAAAATCAATAGAAAATTAGAAGATAAAGTTGCGGAAATATCCCCCAAAGTTAATAAAAACTTAAAGAGAGTGAAAATAAGAAAGGAGGAGGGGGAATGAGGTCACTTTAGAAAGTCTAATATCCAATAAAGTGAAATCTTAGAAAGAGGTTACAGAAGTTATGCTTCCTTTTGTCTTGCGGGGATACAGAATCAATTATGGGATGAAATTATCAGAGACACTAGTATTAGAGGATTCTCCACATGAAAAAACAAGAGCCTTCAGTTTTGAAGGGTCCTTTGAGTGCTCAGTATAAATCAGTGGAAAAGAACCTTCTCGGAGTATCATTCTGAAATTTTAGGGCACCGGGGAATAAGAGAAGACCCTAAAATATTCCTGGGAGGAAACATCAGGCCATGTGCAAAGGACTAGAAGTAAGTTTGGCGTCAGATCTTTCAACAGTGATGCTGGAAACTGGGGGACAATGAGGTGATGCCTTCACGTTTTTGATGGAAAATACTTCTAAACCTAGGATTCTATACCTACCCAAACTGTTGTGTGCATAAACAGAATGATGCTATTTTCAGAAAGGCAAGGACTCTAAACATCTAGCTTCCATGCATCCTTTCTTAGGAAGCTACTGCAGGATATACTCCAGCAAAATGAGGGAATAAAACAAAAATACGAAGGACAGGAAACAGCAGCAAGGAGTGTTCCAGGATGAGAGGGAGGTAGCAAAGAGCAGCTGGCCAAGACGGCAGCAGGACCGTGGAGGGTCAGGGGAAATAATGAATGGTTACCTGATATCTTTGGAAACAACATCATTAGGCAGATGACAGGCCTGAGAGTCAGACAAAAAAATTGAGGACAGGTATGATTTTAAAAGCCCCAGCAAATAAAAAGAAAAGAGAAGCAGTATTATCTTTGGGCAAAATAAAAAGGAAACATAATCCCAACATACATCTTGCCTGAACATGAACAATATTTACCTGGTCATGATGAAGTAACAGGTAAAACTGATGAGAACGTACCAAGACGACGGTGGGGGTAAGTGCATGCAGTGGGGAACTAGGAAAAGGGAGATAAATTATCATCTACCCAAAGGCATGTTGATACATAATGTCTTAAAACTGACATACCACTAAATAGCAATGGAAGCATATCACTTAGAAATAAGGAGGCAGGGAACAGAAGAAAGCAAAATGGAGAAGGGTTAGAAGTGGCTGCCCTCAGGGGTCGGGGCTGGGGATGGATGGATGTTTTTTTACGACAAGCCTACTTCACTGTTTCCCCTTCGTGGATCACAGTCATGGTGAAGGGGCTTGCTTAACTCAATGAAGCTATGAGCTGTGCCGTGCAGGGCTGCCCAAGACGGACGGGTCACAGTGAAAACATCTGACAAAACGTGGTCCACTGGAGGAGGAAATGGCAACTCACTCCAGTACTCTCGACAGGAGAATCCCATGAACAGGAATGAAAGGGCAAAAATATATGACACTGGGAGATGCGCCCCTCGGGTTGGAAGGCGTCCTGGGGAAGGGCAGAGGGCAGTGACTAATAGCTCCAGAAAGAATGAAGCGGTTGGGCCAAAGTGGAAATGATGCTCAGCTGTGGATGTGTCTGGCGGTGAAAGAGAGTTGGACCATGAAGAAGGCTGAGCGTCAGAGAACTGATGCTTTTGAACTGTGGTGCTATAGGAGACTCTTGAGAGTCCCCTGGACTGCAAGGAGACCGAACCAATCAGTCTTAAAGGAAATCAACCTGAATATTCACTGGAAGGACTGATGCTGAAAGCTCCAGTACTTTGGACCCGATGCAAAGAGCTGAGTCATTGGAAAAGACCCTGATGCTGGGAAAGACTGAAGGCAGGAGGAGGAGGGGATGACAGAGGAAGAGATGGTTCGACTGCATCACCAACTCAATGGACATGAATTTAGCAAACTCTGGGAGACAGTGGAGGCAGAGTAGGTCGCAGAGAATCAGACAGGACTTAGTGACTGAACAACAACTGCTAACGTTAGTCTTTAACTCTGCTTGACGTAT